AAAATTTCAAACGAATTTTAAAAAAACAGAACTGACATATTTTACACTCTTTAAAAAATATACATTTGGAGTCAAGTCTATAACTATTTGTAAAATCACAGTGTTGTAAAATTAATATCTACATAGTTTCTTTTATTTTGTTCACTGGGAATATTTTCAGAAATATTCCCTATATTAGAGAGATTTGTTCGCATATTAAACTGCGATATTTCTTAAAATATTCGGTCCTGTCGGTTTATTCAACACCAATTCTGTTCGCTCTATTTCTTAATGACGGAGTGTTTGTTCAAAGAAATTAAAAACATGTGAAATTTGGACAACTTTTGAATCAATAGACTCGCTCAATCCTTTGATCAGAACCGACGCGCTGAAATAGATGGAATCCCTCATATCTCAAAATATGCTGACATTTTGAAATTATTTTAAGAATCAATGAATTTCCACAATGCTTTCGCTAATCGCTATAGACCACTTGCATTACCCGCCATTTTGGGGGGAAAAGGTCATAGTTTTCAAATCTTTCACTTTGATCTTTGATGAAATTGACACACTGTTACTTGCATCTGTCAGTGCATTGTTTTAGCGCATAAGTAAAAATCGCTTATTAGACTGCCTATGGTAATACCTGTGATGTTGTCCATGATTATTACTATTACACTGCCCAATTTGAAAATAAAATTGACATAATATATGCAGATCATCATTTATCAAGGCAATACCAAGGAATTTTAAGAAATTTAGGTAATGTCTCAGCAACTATATCAGGGCCAGCCCAAAAGTGGAGATCCAGTTACTGGACTGTGTTATGGAAACCTACAATATATTTTCTACTTTTCAAACTTGTTACAAAATTGACTTCCAAATTATTTTAGACACTTATAAGTTGCCCTCCAGTCATCTGCTTTCACCACCCCCTTCTAGAAATCCTATATCAGTCCCTGACTATAGCTGCTAATATGGCACCTGGTGTAGCTTTTCTTTTAGTTGCAGTGATTTCATGTTTCAAACTTTGACAAATGCAAGGGGGGTTCTCACTCTTGATTATCCTTAATGACCCCATGCATTACCTAGCCCTCTTGGGGGTATGGTTTAGGAAATTAAGAAGGTTTGTTAAAGATTTGATGAGACACAATTCTTAATCAATGTGCAGTTCATATGTATGATACATTGTATTTTGCTTCATTGCAATGTTTCAGAACAGAAAATGCAAGCTATCTCTTGCTTTTTTTCCAATTAGCATCTTATACCTGCAAAATAAGAGGGATCTGATAAGTCTCACAGTGCTCAATTTAGTCTACCCTTTATTGATAGTTAATAGTGGGTACAATTAAGGTACAGAAAGAATAATTATTAAACCCTGATAAATTTTGTCAAAGAAAATATTATTAGAAAATATAACTACTGATAGATGCTTTATATACTAAAGTCCAAACAGAAGAAATGAAGATATTTTAATTTTTTAAAACCCTTTGTAGTTGCTTACCTGATTTCCTCCTCAATAAAGCATTTAGAGCGCATCACAAGAACAGCAAGAAACCACTTCTTTGTTCAATTTTTAAAAAAAGGAAAGCCCGAAAGGAAACAATTTGAACTTCTTAGTTTAAAAACAAAAATTGGGGGGGAAAATATTCACCAAGCACCAAAAGTATTTTTAGTCAAAACCCCAGAAGCAGATGGGCATGATATAATTGGATTGTGGTATGTCTGTGAATGTGATCATTACCATGGTCATTTAGGACCATTTGGGCTGTGGCGTGGGCTTTGGGCTGTGGCATGGGCAAAGCCCATAGCCAGAATTTAAAAATGACAACCACTAGGGAGGGGAGGAATCTGTGCAAATAGGATATATTATGCATTGTTTTCAAAAGTTCTTTGTCTCTTTCTTTTGTCATTGCTATGCCCCTATAAGAACAGTCATATGCAAGTAAGTTGCGGAAAAATTCCTAGGGCAAAGCCTAAAATCCGCCATGCTTTCTGCTTCACTTGGAGATGGGCCAGATGGCGAGCACTTCCAGCAGGAATTATAGCAGAGCTCAGCGATCGTTTCCCACAAAACATAGCACAAAATAAAATTCTTTATTTTTTTTCATTTACCTTTTTATGCCGGAAACTCTTTGTACATTATTAGCCTTTCCAATAGGACCACTCCAACCAGAGTAGACGTCATACTTTTCACCTGAAAACCTTCATTTTCTAAAATACGAATGAGTTCCATTTTCATCAATTGGAATTTATTGTCGTTGCCCTTTTCTTCTAGGAGAGTTAATGTTAATCCTATAACATTATAAAAGTTTTCCCCATTTCTGTGCGAACATGGAAACACTCCAGTCTTTTTAATTATTTCAGAGAGTCGTTCCACTTCTTCTTTGTCGCCGTACAACTTAATGCTTCCCGGCCCTCCCTTGTCGAGAGAAGAAGCACAGTGAATACTTGACTGAATTTGCAAATGCCTGTATTTGACCGACATAGTCTCATCAGATTCTGTAAAATGTATCAATTTGTGCTATTTTCTTATTTTTCTAATTTCTAGCATAGACCACGTGATTTGAAACCATTTTAGATCACATGGTCTGAAATGGTTAAGTTTTATTGGCTACTCTATGGTACCACTGGTGTAGCTTTTCTTTTAGGGGCTGTCTTTTCTTCTATGGGCTGTGCCGGCTGTCTTTAGAGTCTTTTCAGCCCGGCTTTCAGGACAATGTCTTCTGGATTGTCTATTTAGCTGATCTGGGTATAAAAATTAACTAATCAGAAGCCAGATCTTCGACAAAACTGAATTATCATTTCCTTCATTGCATTATGACTTCGACACTCGAAATATCAAGTAATTTTATTATATTTAGGCAAAAACACGCTTATTTTTTCTCAACTGTAAATTAGAATTTAAATTTTTCACCCTTTATACTATTAGTTAGAAAAATAAGGACAAATAACACCAGGCACATGATAACTCAGTTTTGTCGAGACGCCTTATGACGTCATGATCTCAGATCAGCTGGATGATGGTACTTTTAGCCATAAGTATAGCTCATAGACATTATATCTACGGTATAGCTCAGTGTTTTTGCTCATTGTTTTGTGTCACATGTGTTGGCCGCACGTGCTAACTTTCGGTGAGCTTGGCAAGACGCCTAGACAAGTGTCATGAAGATTTTTTCAAGATGAAAGTTGCTTTTGTGAAAAATCTGAAGACCCCCTCCATCCTTCTTTTGAAAAATGTTAAATCAAATCAGGACATCGCACTAAAGTTTTTTGTTTAAATCGGCATTTATTTGTCAAAAATTCTCAATTCTTCTACCGATTTACTCAGTTAAAAGTTCTAACATGACAGTTGCCAAGCAAATTACGCATGCGCACATTGTACGAAAGTAAAATCGTGTAATTTGGCTTCAGTTTCACATCTGTGTCTATCTCATATGTACTTGAAGGTAAGATTATGAGCTGGGGCGAGTTGTATAAAAAGCTGGTTAGTGGTTAACTTTTAACTGTAGTTCGTGACCAGTGAACTCCAATAATTTTATTTCGTTATTTTACTGATTGCACTGTTCGTGACAGAATTGGCCAATCAGAATCGTGAATTTCTGAGTTAACCAGAATTTAACCATGCAAAATGTAGTGAAGAGTTTTATACAACTGGCCCCAGAACTGCTGAAGGTTATGGGTTGATCAGCAAGGATCCTGAAGAGTGAAGACTGTTTTCCTAACTTTTTTAGCTAAAAAGAAGTCAAATCTGACATTGAGAACATACACAGTCGACCTAACAAGAACAGCAGGCACAGTTTTTTTGTAAAAATGTGATAATTTTATGTGTAGGGTACCGAGTATTGGTCAAATGGGATCAGTGGGATATAGACTCCGGAGAATAAGACGATCACGCCATTTGGAAGGTTAATCTAGTTTGAGAGAGTCTGTATCTCACTGATACCAAAACGCTATTGTACACATTTTTTTTTCTTTTATTTTGAAAAATATAGAAATCTTTTCATGCCATATTGTAGGCCAAGTTGCTCTGAGTGAAAAAAGAGTCTTCAATCATTATAGTTACTCATACCAGACACATCCAATGGTGGAAAATTGACGATTTTTGTAAAAATGATAACAAACTAGGTTTTAACGCTAGAACGACGGAATTGGTTTTATTTATTTCTAAATATTTTTGCCTCGGAGCTGAACCTCGAATAAATAAAACCTTTCCAGTATGAAACGTTTCAGTTACAGACTATAAATATAAAACTTCTACGATCTATCTAAAATATACAGTCGTTATTTTACTTGAACCTAAAAGTGTAGTATTTCGTTCATTCTACGTCCGACCCAAATGTATTAAAAGCCTAGCATGAAAATTTTATCAAGTTAGTATAAAGTTAGCTTTATGCCTTACTTTTTGAGTTATCTTTTCCGGCCAAAAAAAAGGGAATGAGAATTTTAGTTTGCCAAGAAAAGCAACGAAAAACGTTTTGCATATATTCATAAATTATAGAAAACAATACAATAGAACAATGAAACAATAGAATAAGCTAATGGCCCTTTTGTTTGCTTGGGGCAAAACCCACTGAGGTAAAACCCTAACTAATAAAACTTTTCGTGACAAAAACCAGCTTACAAGATCGCCGCGAGTGTTTGCATCTAATTAAAATAAACTGTCAAGCATTGTGATTGACGAAATTATTTACAATAATCGTTGATAAATGAATGAAATCGATAAAACTAAGCCACGTAGGAGTTATCTTGTGATATTGCATTTTTGTGACTTAGATAATTGCATATGAAAAGTGTTTTTGTCGATCTTGTCGATTACTATGTTGTACATTACTGTGTACTCATGTTGTCGATGTTGATGAAAAGGATTAGTATCACTAGTACACATAATTTACTATCCAGTTATCCAGTTCCAGATTCTTTTCCTGTATATGTTGAAAATCCTGCCTCGCGGGTGTGTAGGTATTTGCAGGTGTGATATGACGTCACGTTCCTATCACCCTACAGAAACATGGCGGAAATTTCATGCGAAATGAAAGTATGAATTTGCTGGATAATTTCGTGAAAATATGAGAATTTCTAAAACAAATTGACCATCCGCACGTGTCGTTCTAGTGAACTATGGTTCCTGGGACAACGTTACAAGCTGTTCCAATTGACAGCGAAACGCTGGACGCCAGAACCGATGTAATTTGCATTGTTCAGGATGAAACAAACTTTGATACCGGGCCTGGGAAATACCATGTAAATCTACCTCGTTCAACATCTATCCTTGACCTCTACCAGAGAACAGGGCAAGAATTCGGCTACGAACAAGATACCTTTCTTCTTGTATGGAAAAATAGCAAAGCCGGACAAGATAGCAAAGAAATGGTTTTAGAAACTGGTATCGAGACTATGACATTGGAAGACGTCTGTCAGCCACCAGATAAGAAAAAACAGCGATTTTTTTTAAGGCAAAAAGGCGATACTAATCCGATACGTATTAAGAAGGGCACACAGGTTTGTTAAAATATGAGGTTTCCAGCACACACTTTATATTTGTACAACTCTTTTTTTATCTACCTATTTTAGATCATTCAATCTGTATCGTCACCCCCCATTCAATAAGAGGCCCATTATTGGATTTCACTTGGATACCAATACAAAGTTTCCCCATAGGATATGATTAGAAACCTTCTAGGATACATTTTCTGTGTATTTTTCAACTTTATGCCATTAAACCTTCTGTAAGGGGGCAGAGATATAAAGTTTATGTATGGTTAATTTGATTTTGGTTTTCTGGTGTGAAATGTTCATATCCAATTTCTCCATAATTTTTATGTTTAGGAAGTGAGTGCAAGTGAAAATGATGCTTTGTCTGATGGTAGTGTTAGCAACTTGTTTGATTCGTCATCAGCAGCAAGTGGAACATCAAGTACAACACCTTATTATGGACCATATAACAGTACTAGCAGTGTCTACACAGATCTTGCTAAGTCTGATACAGGTATATATTCAACAATTTATAGGATCTTGTGCATAGAGGTGCAAGTTTAAATAGTTTCTTGAAAGTTACTTTGTGCTTAACAAACAGATTACATTAATACATTTAGCCATTGTCTGTTCAGTACTAGATACAGAGATGCATTTAATCTACTTCTTTCATATAATAAAGTAAAAATAAAAATTTAAAAAACTTAAATAAGAACTGCTGTTATCCCAGGTGCATGGCTAGTTATTTTACCCTTTGATTTAAATAAATATTTTGTAAACTGCCAATATTCTTCTTTTTTTTTTTAGGTTATGTTGGTCTTGTGAATCAAGCAATGACATGTTATCTAAACAGTCTACTACAAACTTTGTTCATGACACCAGAGTTTAGGAATGCAATATACAAGTGAGTTGAATTTCTCCAAAGAAACTGTATACTTTCATCATTTCAATCCTAAATTTTTATTCAACTGAGGAATCTTGTATATAAATGAGATAACTTGTATAGTATATTAATGCTCTGTCAAAACGAAATTTTTATATAATTTGAATTATTCCAATTCAAATTCACAGACAAGGTTGTACTGTTATGCTGAATGTTTCATAGAAAAGACATTTCTCATTCAGTGTAGTTGTTGCCTTTTTTGTGCATGATGAGTTAAGTTGTTCACTGACTATCCCTACTAACATATTGTATATGTATTTATAGACATATCTGCTAAATTATATATTCCCAGAGGTTGCTCTCCTCCCTGTCAGACACCAGAACTAAAAAGTGTAATATTCCTTGAAGAAAATGAAATATTTGCAACCTAAGCTAAAAAAAGTGTGTAAAATACCACATTGTTCTCTTTGAATCTCAATATGCAAAAATGAAGATGTTCAGCAAAGTAATACAGTACATCAGGGTTTTGACCAGTTCAATACATATCCTTGAATATTAGTTTCATCATCAAGCTGATTAATCGTTTTAAGAAAAACACAGCGGGGAAGTCGTTCAAAGACAAAATATTTTTGAAAATTTCTGGTGGATTTAGTATTGGATCTGCTTATGATCAAAGTTTAGTTTCTATTGTGAATATACTTCTAATGTATGTTTAGATGGCAGTTTAAAGGCTCAAAGGAAGAGGCAAGCAAAAGTATTCCTTATCAGCTACAGAGGTTGTTTGTGCAACTTCAGGTACTGTAAATTTCGGTTTTTTTATCTCATTGAATAAAAAACAATACCTAAGTATAGTTGCAGGCAGATATGGATGACAATGTCTCAACTTTATAAAAAAAAAGTAGACAGCATATTGCAATGTAACTGATCATTTTTTGCATTTTTTTAATAAACCAAAAGGGTACTCAAAAGTAGGTATTGTACACTCAACATGCAGATGAGCAGGTTAACTGGGTTTAAAAACCAGAGCTAAGCATAGTTTTTATATAATTTTATTTGACAATCAAATTTGCATTTTATCTGATAACAACCAAACCCCAATTATCTATATTCCTTAGGCACGTTGGAGTAGCAGGCTATCTCCCCCATGTGACCTTCAGCCAATCAAATCAATAGTTATATATTAATTAAATGAAACAAAGTCAAATTGTTTTCAACACTGGGGAAATGTAGTTTAAACAGGGCCAAGTATGCTTGTTTATTAAGCACCTAGCTAGTCAGCTTGATCAATTGTTCTTTATAAAATAAAGGAACAAGAAAAGATACTTAACAAGTGCTTGCTCGGAGGAAGGTCGGAATGTAATTCGTATTTGTATTTGAAATTCCATCGTTTGGCATTTTATCAAGCAGGGGCCGGTTGTATGAAAACCGGATAGCGCTATCCACCGGATAGTGGTTTTTTCAATCGCTTCAAAATCGCCCGTTATTTGCTACAACTTTGATTAAATCTTAGTATTCCTAAATCGAAGATCCTCTTTAATAATTGTTGCTTCCAAGCTGAAATTTTATCGCTTCTCGAGCATTTTTAGAACGGTTGAAAAAATCACTATCCGGTGGATAGCGATATCCGGCTTTGATACAACCGGCCCCAGTGCTGTAGTGCTTCCACTTTCCTCACGGCTCCTCCCCTCTTTAAGGTCTGGCTACATCCCAGCTTGAGGGTGGGAATTATAAGATGAAATAGGCCTATAATATTATTTATTCCATATACTCATATATAGATATCTGTATCAAGTCATTCACTTAATTGAAGCTGTTGTTTTGTTTATTCTGTTTAGTTTAGCGGAAAGAGAGCGGTAGAAACGACGGATGTTACTAAGAGTTTTGGCTGGGACAGTAGTGATGGTATGTATCTTGTTCAAGGTACCCTTTCCGGGTACCTGGAGATTAAACTGTTTTTGATAACGACGAGGGAGTAGCCTGTGCACAGACCTATATCCGGAACCTGTGCACAGGCTAACGAGGGAGCGCGCTATGTCGGATATGCAACTTTATAAATAAAAGCAATGTTGTTCTTGTTTAAAGCAGTCAAAGGAAAGAAAAAAGGACAAAATGCTTATTACGTTTCCACTCAGGGAAATCATCCTGAGGACGTGATTGAAAAGGGAACTTTTGACTGTGCGTGTTTATTTAAACTAGCCTTAGTTTTCGTCCAGAACTAACAAACAAAAACACGGAAAATCATTTCCTGAGTGTAAATTGAGCCTGCAATACCAGAGATCGTAACACGTTAGTACTCGCTTTAGTATAATCTCGGTGTTGTTCACTGTTTCATGTAAGTTTATCCTCAAACAATGCTCGAGTTAGAAATCGGTATTTCGTTACAATGCACAACTTGTTACATTGCTAACGGGTTACAGTAGGTTCACTGATAGATGAAATAAACTGGTGAGTGGTTACATGCATCTTAAAAAGAGCCTGCATGGTTCACGTAGAAAAGCTTTGTTGCTTTGTCATTGCTAAATCACCCTGATAAATTTCTCATCATCTTGATAAATTTAACTAACTATTCGTGTGAAAATTGTATTTTTAATGTCAATGTAGCATGGCATCAACATGACGTGCAAGAGTTGTGTCGAGTAATGTTTGATGCTCTGGAGACTGTCTTTAAGAACACAGATCAGGTAATATAATGCAAATCTTGAAAAGAAGTAAATTCACACGTATACATATTATAGTATTAATATGTATATATAATAACTATTGAGAAATTTCTCACTGATGAAAACAGAAGATTTCTATATATTACGATCGCTCAATGTTCCTATATGTTACGATCAACTATTACACGTACACAAAAATCAACTGTATGTGTTATCCGTGTAGTTTGTCCATCATCATCAAGCTACAAACGTAAAAATAGGCAATTACATATATCTTGTTTTCGACGCTGAGAAAGATGAAGAAATAAAAACCAAACAAAACCACATTAAGCTTGCGTCTAAATTAGTATAAACTGGGGCAATAGTAAACGATTATATATCTGTCTTGAAAACTTCTTAAATGCACAGTTAGGCGAACAATATTAATATTAATAAAGAACAAGAAAAAAGTTAACAAAATAACCCATGTTTAATAGGGTGATAGATATTTAAATATTTGTATATATATTGACATGAACAACCTTTATGATAACGAGATTGTCTGTTCTCATCTCAATTTTTTTTTGCATCTTTTTTTTAACAAGGCTGAACTAATCAATCATCTTTATCAAGGAAAATTGAAGGATTATGTCAAGTGTCTTGAGGTTTGTAAAATTTCTAACTCTGCCTGTATGTTTGGCATTACCAATCAACTCTAATAATAATACACCAGGGGCCGGTTGTATGAAAGCTAGATAGCGCTATCGAACGTATAGTGATTTTTTCAACCGTTCTAAAAATGCTCGAAAAGCGATGAGAATTTTCGCTTTGAAACCAACAATCATTAAAGAGGATCCTTGATTTAGGAATGCTAAGATTAAATCAAAGTTACATTCAGCAAAAAACAGGCGATTTTTAAGTGATTGAAAAAACTATTATTCAATCCGATAGTTGGAATCAAGTATACTTAATTAAGCAATTGCGTTACACTGTGGAACAGGAAATTTAGGCGAATTGTTGTGCTTACTTTCCTATTTTTCGCTGAAATAATTTGAAACCATCGCTGATGTTTCACGAAAAAGTTTTCACGTTAATTCACCGTTCTTATAGCGATAGTTCATTTCCATAACTACACTTGACGTTTAGTGCGAATGTGAAAGTGCTCGAATGGACACATATTTGGATATACCACTTGTGATCAGACCATTTGGTGTGAATACTTCACATGGAAGTGTGGTAAGATGCTTGCATAGTCCTAAACGGCATTCAAATATATTGAATATGGATAAAATGCTGGAGAAAAGGGTGTCCCAAAATAATGTTTTGCCCAATGATTTACCAATTTTAAAAATTTAATTATAAAAATTTCACCAACTTTTTCGATTTTACACTGCACGATTTACAACATTTTTCAGCTATGGTTGAAACTTGAATGAAAATTGAAATTCACGCATTATACTGCTCTCAATACTCTGCTTCTCGTGTCTCTCATAACCCATCTATAACCACCCTTGATTGTCGCATTACAGATATGTTATGCAAAATTTGGATAAGTAGAAATTTTAGTTTTCATTGGGTCGTTTTTGCTTTCTGGCAGTGAGAACTGCCCAAACAATAATAGATCACACTGTCTTCTCTATAAATAACCGAATTTAATTTTCTACTTTCGTCCGTCTTCGTCGAAACTCGTTTACGTTGAGTCTTTTCTTGAACACGTAGCTACCTTGGGCGAAATCGGCTAAATCTACCCTCAAGATATGCATGCAATCAATGCCCAGGAACGCCACGTGGAACCTGTTATTGAACTTCTCTTGTACCATGTTTTTATTGAAGGACTTTTTGTTATAACTAGATTCAAAACTTTATAAACATATAGCTACTACTACATAATCTACTATTCATTTTTTATAGGAAGAGGCGTTGGATGCCTTTGTTAATCCCGAGACATTAGAAGAAAATAATCAGGTGGGCAATTTTAATTAGCGAAATAATAGCTTCAAAATGACGTTCGTCTATTCTAAAAAGTTTTCAAGATTTTATGTCATAATATCATCTAGCATTGTCAGCAATGTGCTTTTTCCCGTAAATAGTTTACATTTTTTTAACTCTGTTTTAGTACAAATGTGACAAATGCGACAAGCTTTGTAACGCACATAAGGTATGTGGAAAATTTGTTCCAAACTGAATATTCAACATGTATTCTGTATTACTGAACCTGGAGAGAAGAGATATATAAGGAAAACAGTTCAGACGTGCAGCTAGCATTCACTATTGCTATAATTAACTGGAAGTTTTATTTTATATTATTTCATTCATGCTCTAGGGTTTAAAGTTCTGCAGTTTTCCTTACCTACTATCCTTTCAACTCAAACGTTTTGCATTCGACTACAACCTCCTTCATCGAATTAAACTCAACGACAGGTATAGTGTCAGAATAACAAAGTACATAAATTTGTACATACTTTCATTTCAGCGGAAAAACACAAAACTCTCTTTTAGACTAAAATCTCGTACATTCAAAATTTAGTTGCAAACATTTTTTCTCAATATACATATGTTATTTACCAGATTGGTGGTCCGTATAGGGAAATATTTCCCAAGGTCTCAAAAACAGCCCGAGGCCGAAGGCCGAGCGACGTTTTTGAGACCGAGGGAAATATTTGTACTTATTTACCGTAGTTATTTACCGTGAAGCGAACTTATTGTACTTATTTACCGTTAAACTTATTTTACTTATTTACCGTCAAGCGAACGAACAACACGTCAGAATTCTGTATTCTAAAAATTATCTGCATTCTATATTTATCAAATTTTGACATATGTTTAAAAATTGGGCGAGTCATATAGGCATACATACAGTATATGAAGCAAAAAACCATCACATAATGTATAGGAACCGCCGTAAGCAAGACTCATATCTTCTCTGCATGATGCATTTTTCAGGTCCATTCTATTTCACTTTACCCAATACCCATACATGTCACCCCAGGTCACATGCACATGCCCGCGGTCCTCATATTCTGCCTGTACTGTATATATTTTAGAATGACATTTCCAAAACATCTAAATCTCAACAAATACGTACCCCCCGAAGATGATGTAAGTTGTTTTTTTGATGATGTGTAGATATGCATGTAGCTATGTATGATTTAGTCCCTATGAATGTGCCAGTTAGGGCAAGATTTTTCATAAAAAGATAAAGATCATGATACATCAGAAATTATTGGGAAGTTGGACTCAAGGGACCGGAGGGTTTTTAGTTACACTTCAGCTAGTGCATCTTTATAGTAGTTTATATCGTTTCGTTAGCATGAAAATGACTTTTAGCCGAATCGAGTATGCGTATATACTGTATAATTATAGTGAAAATCAGTGGTCTTTCATTTTTTTTTTTCAGTCAAAAAATTATTTTTTTAAATCCCAACGGCCCTAGAGCAGCAGTGGATCCGTTAAAGCTACCTATATATCACAGAAAACGTTATTTCGACCGCCGATAAAGTCTGTAGTTGCTTATGTCAATAGAATAGGGATACAATCTCCTCTTTCTAGCTAAATCCCGAGTTATTAAAAATCAGTCTTTGAAATATTATTCTTGAAATTTTCATTTTCAAATTTCGAAATCAGACATGCGCTTAGCGTCAAAAACGGTAAAAAAATGGCGGTAAAGGGGAATTTTATTTAAACGGCGTGCTGTATTTACATACACGTCCCAACAGAAAGATTCCACACGCACATACTGTGTTTAGGTCTGCTATTGATAAAAAGTAGATGTATCTTTAATATTCACTCCTTCAATTACTTTAAATCAGCTGCTGCTGTTAATTTTAGCTTGATGAATTAACATTGACAGTATTGTATTGCCAGGCAGGTTTTTGCTGTCGAATAAGTTTTAGTCGTTTGGTTAAAGCATTTCTATCATCGATTGATATGTGGTTCATCGTTCGCATCTATACACGACTAAATATAATCATGTATTTTCTAGGACAATGATGAAAGTTTGTCTCAAAAAAGTGACTCACCAAGCAGTATTGAAACCGAGACAGACAGTGGCGTTAGTCTGACGTCATCAGAAAATGACGCAGTCACTGAAGAAGACCTCAATGATATGTCGATGGATGTCGGTGAACGATCTACGGCTGCCTGTGCTGGCTTCGATGACACTCAAGAAAGCGAGAGCATGCAAGATCTGAAAGGACCTGAGGTAATTCGCCTCCAAACTCGATAAACTGCGCTGGTTTTTATACGGACATCAGACAAAGTGGGCCTATTGTAAATGCGAAGCTTTTTCATTCATTTAATGTTTGTGAAATCTTAAATTTTAGGGACCTTATATGTATGAGCTATTCTCTATTATGATTCATTCTGGTAGCGCTATCGGTGGTCATTATTATGCTTACATCAAGTAAGTTTCAAACAATTACTATAAAAACATGTACTATACTATTGTAACGAGATACCCGATTCCACTATTACCTCTTGCTTTGCTTGCCTTTTTAACTTAAAAATGCATGTGCGTGATAAGCAAGTCTCGACATACATTTTATACATTTTTATACCTTATATGCATTTAGGTGTATATGATCTAGATTTGATCATACCACTCTGTTGAAGTTTCTTTATTGTATTGTTTTTTCGTTAATCAGGTCGTTCAAAGACAACCAGTGGTACAGTTTTAATGACCAAGCAGTCTCAAAGGTATAGTAGCATCATGCGTTATTCCATTTTTTCTACATTTTCGTACTTTTCATCTGGTTATAATCCTAAAAAAATAGCGCTTCAAAAATAGATAACTTGTTATAGTTACTGAGGAAAAAAATCCACTGATTTTAATTGGCAGAAAATAATTTCTCCAAGTGAAGTTTTAATAAATTCACCATTAAATTAAGGCTTTTTTTAAAAAGCGATTTTATCAGTTATCTGAACTTTTCTCGTTTTTTTTTAAGATCACAAACAGTGATATCAAACGTACATTTGGGGGATCCGACAATTCAAGCAGAGGCTATTATTCCTCTCATTATTCAAGGTATAATCGATATAGATACATATTCCTCCTGACCTTTTATCTGGAAGTTGAATGAAACATAATCTTTGTTTCTAAGCTTATTAATTTGAGGTGCGAAAGCGACGAATGTCTATTAAAGTATAAATTTACAATAAAAATAGGCCGCATCTGCACTTCACAACAAACCGGCTATTTTTGATGTTACTGAAGGATACATTCTACTAAACTAGTGGTCGTAGTGCCAAAGTTACAATTTAACGATCTTCATTTATATGACCTAATATGCATGGTATATTGTTTCTGTATTTTCTAGTTCAGCGAACGCGTATATGTTAATGTATCGTCAAATACACACAGACAATTGTGTATTTACGAGCGAGGATGATCTTCCACAGCACGTTAAAGTGCTTGTTAAACGATTGCAAGAAGATGAATTCAAAGAGAAAGAAGAACGGAATTATAAGAAAAGTATTTGCAAGGTCAGCACAATGTGTGGCTATACTGTAGTATACAAAAAATTTCTGTTGAAACATCTTATTATATATAAAGTGGGACAGATCTTGTTAAAAAGCTTCTGTCGATTTTATGAACTACAACTTGCGAAGTTTCTTGAAATAATCTCATTAATTTTTAGATCAAGATATTCTGTTATCATCCTGTTAAGCAGGAGATGTTGGATAAGAAACTTGAGATTCATAAAGATAAAACATTACGAGAGGCTACGGAGATGGCTAGAGAGGTAAGACAATCTCCATCATTTAATGACATTGCATGCTGTGTGATTGTATTGTATTTAAAGTGAGATACTCTCCTCGCATTAACTACTTGATTATTTATATAATCCGAATGAAAAATTTTGTATTTATATTCAATGACACGTCGTGGGTCTAAAGTAACAGCAATGTCAATACCGTTCATTCCTTCTTCTCTGCCTCCTCTCTTCATGTTGACACTTGTTGTTAGTGGATGAAGTCCATAAGCACTTAACTTAAACGTGTTTTTTTAGTTATTTGATCTGGAAAACGATGTGTCGTTAAACAATTGCCGTATAGTGAAATATGATGAATATAATGAAAATATGGAGTTATCTTACGAAGGGAAAGAGGTCTGTTACATCTAAGGTCGTATAAAGAAAAGATAGGCTAGATATAGATCAGTAATGATTGAAAGAGTTGACCATACCTTGTGACGTTTTCTTGTGCAATGAAGGCATACAGTTCTTTGCCGATTCGATTACACGATGTATGGATGCATGCTGTCACTCTACTTCCATGCAAGGCTTTTTATCTTAGATTGTATCAAAATTAACATTTCCTCATGGTGACATCTGGATAACAATCACGACAATTAAGAAGATCGGTTTTCTTGTCTGCATTTTCTTATCACAATTGCGATAGAAAGCCAAGCATCGCGTTTTCTTACCATACAAGTCTATATACTATATCTCCTTACAGTACTTTTTTCTGTATATTTATTTCAGGATACGGACATGCTCACCATACTTGACGGTGTTAAAACATCCTATTTATTTGATCTCATGTTGGAAATAAAAAAGGATGAAGATGAATTTCCAGTCTATAAACCCGGAGGTACGGGGATTAGTAGGAGATGCTTATCAGGCACTATTCAGGGATAAAGTTGTATATTTTATGTAAAATGAACTGAGCTTGAGAGAAATGAAATTTCATGGGCTTATATTAAATATGTCAAGGCAATTTTTAGCGATTTGACTGCCCAAACTGATTTGGTCACTGCAATATCGGATTCGCGTCTTCTGGCCCTAATGAAGAGTCGTACTATATTTTCCTTTAAAGACAAAATCCCATATTGCAGATGCATTTGGCTTTAAATACTTTTTTTCTTCCTGTGAATTTTTAATATCCTGTCGAAACCTGTTTGTTTTTTCTTCAGCAATTACGGTGAAAGTTCAAGAAGTTGATGTTAAAAAAGATTTTGTTTCTTCTGCCTTCTCCATCCGCATCCAATTCACTGACAGTTTAAAATGTCTTCAGGATACTATAAGACAGGTTGGTTAGATGTTTAGCTTAAAAAAGGAATAAGTTATACACTAGTAAAAGATTAAAATAAAAACCCTAAAGATTCTGCCTCATTAAAGGACTAAATTCTCGCTCTGTTATAACATTCTTGTGCGGTACACGGAAAAAAATACTTATACGTTGTTCCTGGTTGTTAAAAACAGGACTGAACATGCAATGTTGTGCAGCACCCCAGGAACATGGTTGTTATCAAAGTTCCAGCATAAGGTGCATTACAACATTGTATGTTCAGTCCTGTTAATTGTCGTCAACCGCGGGTACATCATTATCAATTTTATAGCATGTACACGCCTAAAAACGATCAGGTTGATGCAATATTGATACGAACTGGATGGAACAATGTTGTGCTGCCCACAATGTTCAGAGTTGTTATCAACATTCAACAATATTGTTACACCCGATTCAGTTTCAACAATATTAAACAATTATTGAATGAGGTTGAGCAGGATATGAGGAATTATTAAGGCCGAGGTTTGTGTTATCTGCCGAAGCCGAAGGCTGAGGCGGATAACACAAACCGAGGCCTTGATAATTCCTCATATCCTGCGAGAACCGAATTCAATAATTGTTTTATTATTTATTTGCAAAAATTGAACCTTTCCTTTGATGAAGCCATTCGTATTTTCCCGCTTTTAGGTTTTGGCACAAGCCGCATAAATTAGCGTGACGTCATACCGTGCAATAATTTTTTTCATATCTGACGAAGTGACGTCAAACGTGCAATAATTTTTTTCATATCCGACGAAGTGACGTCACTGTCCAAATTTGGGCAGCTGCCGAGCGGATATGACGATTTCGCCAACAGCTGCTGGCCAATCAAAACTCTTGACTCATTTTCAATAAATAATAATGTTCGTCAGATATGAAAAAAATTATTGCACGGTATGACGTCACGCTAATTTATGCGGCTTGTGCCAAAACCTAAAAGCGGGAAAATACGAATGGCTAAATCAAAGGAAAGGTAAATTTTTGCAAATAAATAATAAAACAATTATTGAATTCGGTTCTCGCAGGATATGAGGAATTATCAAGGCCTCGGTTTGTGTTATCCGCCTCAGCCTTCGGCTTCGGCAGATAACACAAACCTCGGCCTTAATAATTCCTCATATCCTGCTCAACCTCATTCAATAATTGTTTAATGTTGTTGACAAGTGTGAACAATAATGGCAGCACAACATTGTTGCATGCTGATAAACCGCAGGCTCAGAGTTTTTAGCCGTGTAGTTAAATATGTAGTTAAATTTGTAGAAATTGGATACGCAATGTAAGCACATTATTATGGTTTGGGAGAGATATTCGTCGGAGTTTTGTGAAATTAAGCCATCTGAAAACAGATCTTTACGAGATGAAAACTTCTTTAAGAAAAATAAGGTATGTATATAAGTATATATGTTTTAAAAGCTTGCTATACATTCGCTACAGTAGACACGTTAGTCTTAAGATGTGGTTGGTTCTGTTCTTGGTGTTTTTATTTACTGCGCTTATATAAAGCAGGATTAGGTCACTCGAGTTCTTTGTAATTTCGTTTCAAGAGTTTTTCAATGTTGAACGTCGTAGTTCTTTTTATAAGTATTTCTATAACGGTCTAACGAACTATCCAGGTTTCGTACAACCATGCCGCCCCTGAACTGCTACATGCAGTATGTTAGGAGATCCCGTAACCGAGGAGAAATCGCTATGCATGCACTATATCCAATAGATCACGACAAAAAAGGTGCCGGATGTTTTACAAAAAGCCAATTGATGTTCTTTGGAGGTCAAGCAATTGAATAGAGTTTCATGTCTTTGTTTTTCTTCTGGCCTTTCTTCAGTCGTGAAAGCTGACATACCAGCTGCATGTTATCTCGTTATATACGGTCACTAAAAGTTTCTATGTATGTTGGAAACTTCAGTGCTTTTTTGTACAGATCTATTAGTGTTATCAATAATTGTGAAAACTGGGGGTGGGACATGTTTATAACTCACGTCTTAGTTGAAATCATGCCTTTCAATCATTGCAAAACAGACGGGGTTATTCGTATTCACTGAACTATTGTTCACTGTATTATAATACACTAAAATCGTTGCTTTGGTTTAGTACTCCGTTTATTTCAGGTATCTGCGGTATGGCGGTTGAGGCATGAACCTTTTCATGTCTTTATTTATAAATATTTCATTCTCGGTGTATTTTCATGCAGAGAAAACAGTCATACTATAGTAAACGGAGGCCTACAGTATTTCTGCTGAAATTTTTTTTCTTAACCTCGCTTTCTGTCTTGAACTCAACTGCAATTTTGTCTTACTATAGATTTTTGTGCAATGCACGGATGAGGATCCTGGCGAAACCCTGGACAGTGAACTTCTAAATGTTCTGGACAAGTATTCAAATTCCATCACGTTGCAAGTTAATCTCCCAGACGATGTATACACAACTGAGAAACATGTTTGTAAGTGCGTTATTACAGTATTTTACTCCATGACTTACATAACACCGGTGATCATTGTAATGAATCTACAGCATCTAAAACCTGGAACCCCGCCCCCCCCCTCCCTAGTTTGTAATGAATCTCCTTGAGAATTCAAATTTTTCGTTCTTCACATAGTCAATATGACCATTCATAAAAATATCACACTCTGCGAATTTAAAGAGAAAGTGAACAGCAAGATGAATAGTTCTCCGGAAATGTTCAAGGTTAGATCCTGTTTTTTTTTTAAATAAATTGACGCGCGCATGCAGCGTCCTCGAGTTTGGAGCGTTGTAGCTACTTGTAAATCGTCGGATTTTAGGACTTCGCGACGCTAAGTTGCACGCCAAGTAGCACAATTTTCCCGCCATCTTTCTACACGAGGATTTTTAGTGGTGACATACATTGGTATCACATATAATTTTTGCAGGTATATCGCATTCGAACTCCTCCTGGTACTTTAGTTTTTTTTCAACAGGCGACTCTAAAAAAACAGCAACATGTCATGAAAAGCAGGACTTGTGTCATCAGCTAAGATTATATTTTGCTTAAAATTTTCGGCAGAAATAGAATTAAATTAAATTAATCTTTCCGCATAGTCTTTGTAGTGTAAATCGTTTTACCTCACATTGTATCAGAGGGGTCTTAATTTTCTTGTATATTCATCACTCCAAAATTCTTTGTCAAAGATCATTGAAATTACAGTACTTTTAAAGTAAAATCTCCATAGAGACATCAAAATCTCTTCCAATTAAAACCCACATCTCTTTTATACTCAAATTCTTAGTCGTGTTCATCGTGACATAATAATGCTCTCCCTTCTCAGGTGTTTCGTATCTACTCAAACAGTCAAGAGATCGAAATGGACCGTTTAACAGAAACATTCAATACAGTCCCGGATAAGAGCAAGGTAAAATTTTTTCTTGGTTATGCCTACTTTATTTGTAGAATTCCGATCCAGTTGAAAGAAATCTAAACAATATAGATAACGAAGGCTATGTAAGTTATAAACTCATCTATATACTTTTCTAATCGACAGGCCTTTAACGCCGAACGATGTCATGTTAAAGACGCAGTAGCGATAGCTAATATAATAGAATATAGTAAAAGAAAATGCTTCATTATCTATTGTTTTAGAGAGGTGCGAATGCACGAGAATAACTCGCATGGGTGAAGTGAAGCCATTTCAGTCGATTATTTATATCAGTTTATGCGTTTTCGGTTATTAATTTCATTAGTAAAACGCTAAAAACAAATATGAAAAGGAAAATGTAATTAAAAATTATCTTACCCATACTAACAATTGAGAGCAAGAATCTTTGCATGTATATTACTTTTGCCAAGTCGAGAAAGTTTGATCGATTGAAAAATTGTACGAAATTCCCACTGGGTACGAGGTTGAGAAATTCCAAGCAAAATACCAAATCACGAAGCCAATCACAATTAAAGAAAATCAGGCGGAAAATTTTATTCCGCTTTTTGGAACCCACCTTAACCAAATAGTCTACCTTTGCTATTTTTCTGGCAGAAATTTGGAGAAAAAAAAACTAAAACCTTTGCTGAATGCATGTAAATAAATGACTTACTGTTAAATATGCTATAGCTCATAAATCCGCCTTATTGTCGCAAAGTTTAAAAGGAATGAGAAACATCGAACCATGCAAAGTGATTTGTCGTCTCTCAAAGACTATATTTGTACATACAATTTATGATTTTTGTTTCAGATTCTCATCAAACATGGTCGAGCTTTAAAAACTGGGGAATTTAGGTCAAAAATTTTCTTATTGCGAATTAATGAAGATCAGGTTAGACTAATATTTTGATGCTATTTCTATCACCACGCATAGATATTTTGGCGTGAAAAAAGAGATTCGTCCATACTTGCCTAATTACTAGACATTTTGGACCCTTAATAATTCTTGTTCTTAGTGTCATAAAATATCAAACATGTTTGTAAGTTGGATTTCAGGACACGAAAACGTCATAGCATGCATGTGACAATCTGTCTCTCGTGCAGCTAGCTACCTTTTATTCATACATTTGACAAATTATGCGAACATTTTTAACGAACTGCTAACGTTTTCTTAGCATTTCGAACATTCTTTGCAAATTAACATCCTTCAAAATGATAATTACATTGCAAGTTGCAAGGAAAATTGCATAGCATAACATGCAGCGCCTTAAAGTTGAATCTCTACACAGTCAAATTGAATGTATTTATGTACTGCGTTTTAGCATACGGAATTTCTTCTGGAAACAATTTTATCGAAAACCATGAAGATTTTGGATATGAAGGCAAATATTCACGAAGAAATAAAGCAAAATTGTAAACGAGATATTCCAGTTGAAAGGTGAGCCGAAGAGCCTCATAAATACACCGGCAAATAATGATTTAACATTGTCCATTATAAACCTGGACTACTGCGTTTGTGTAGAGGTAGTTTTTGGGTAAACAATATTATTCTGGTGTTTATTAGAATGAGGCTACGTAGAAAAGCCTGGAAATCACCAGGTCGTATTTATCATAACGACCAGAAATTGGATGACATCATGATTTGTTCTGGAACCGCAGAGACCTTTGTCGAAGAATTACCAGGTAGGCTACGCCGAATGTTATTCTTGATATCTGTTTCAGAAACATGCACGTTTATATCGATTTTTGTCGTGGGTTCACTTTGCACCTTGAATGTTTTATGTTATAGGACCCGACTTCGTAGAAAACGAAAGTCAGATGTCTGTGTACGTAAAGAGGTGGCGACCTTCTAAATATACGTTTGAAGAAATGCTGGAGATAATTTTAGATAGCGAAGCCACTGTTTCGGATCTTAAAGCGAAGGTAAGTGGCAGAAATACAGGTGCAACGACACATCTTCGTTTTGTTATAAAAGCACACCCACCATAGTCTTGTCTGTCGTCAAGTGTAATGGTGTTAAAAGAATGTTTAGAAAATGCAAAATCATACAATAGTGTACAGTCACGTATACCCAGCCGCTTTATTTAATCGCTTTATTGGAAGACATACGTATAACGTTGCATTCAGCTACTTTATATAGATCAACAGAAATTTTTTTTTTCTCTTTTAGATATCTTGCCTCAGTAACATTGCTGCTGACGACGTAGAAGTTGCTAAGGTATATACTATGGCACAAAGGACCTACTTTGACAGAGGTGTACCGTGAAACGCTAATGTTTGAGTGTAACGAAAAGCTTAGCCAGTGCGCGTTAGGGAGTCATGCAGAACTGCATGCATTACGTTTCATTTTGTACAACGTATAAACAATATTGCACACGGATTAAATGCGTTCAATGGAAGTGACTATAGCTCCGTTCACACTGCACTCGATTTATTGGCATGGTTGGGCTAAAATGGGTACCCGATTTTCATCTGTGCTAGGCCTTTGTTTTGGTAGCCTGTTTTGGTAACTAATATAATTAGGTATGGTTAGCAATTTTAGCCGTGCCGTGCCAATAAATTGAGTATAGTGTAAACGGGGCTTAAGTTATCGAAACAGCATTGTGAAGTGAAACAAGATTGCTAACGCAAAGAGACGTAATAATATTTGACGATATAGTCCATCAAATATCACGGGGTACACAGAGTAAAATAATTTGGGCGAAGAATATCTTTCTTTTATTACGTCAAGCAGACTATTATCATATCGTGGATGTGGATGTATTCTAATACCCGGGCATTTTTATATTTTCAGGGACGCGGTTCCTTTCCGTTCGAAATTTCCGCTCTAGATATTCACGACGATTATGAATGGAACCCTAAAGGCGAAACATTACGACACTTTCCGATCATGGTTAACGACGATGGAGCGTTGTTTTACTTCAGGTAAGACAAATTATCATCATTTTTTTCTCGGAAATTTCACCGTTATTTCCTGATCTGTTTTTTTCCAAAAAATCTATTCCCTCTATCGGTAAGAGTTTTTATTTTTCTCCGCTGATTTGTAAGATGAAGTAATATGAAGCGACGCTGACGTATCCTACTTCTAATATCCAACGTACAACTAAATCTGTCCAAAGATCGCTGTAGCACTTGCTGGGCATGCACTGAAGGGATGGATCGAGGGTGGTTTCATACGGGGGGGGGGGAATGTGGACCAGTTGACAGACATGGGTTGGGGTACAAGCATTAGATGTTAGGGATATTAGTATGGTATTGCTAAGGTGTTACCTAGGTTGCTAGAGCCTCGTAAACGGTGAAACCTCCAAATTCCCACATTCAAAAGTGTAATTATCAAACCCCCAGTAAATCACCCAGGATGCACTTTATTTAAAATCGCATAATTTCTTGCCGGGCTGCCTAAAAAAAGGAAATACACAATAACTCCATCCTTCATTATCGCCAGGTAGTTTTAGCGCTGTATCTATCTTCTATGACGTTAGCCATATGAAGCGTTTCACACACGCAGTTCACCCTTGCTAAGCAATGGTAGTTAGCCAGACGGTAATTAGCTACCGTGTATGCGTCTGTTGTTAGTGAAGCTGGGCAAGAAGTATTTTTACCAAAGAGTATAATATGTGTACAGAGCAGACATACACAGAGGCATGATGGCAATAGACCACTTGCATTATGACGTCACACGCATGAGTGCCCGTGATGCATGACGGGAGGGGGCTGTAACTTGCTTTCAAACGAAATGGATGCCGTGTGTTGCAACTGTGCGTGTGACGTCATAATGCAAGTGGTCTATTTTGCAACGTAGAATTGTCAAAATAAAAATGTCGCTGCCTATACAAACACTTTGAACAACATAATCTAAAATAGTATCTGGCGAGATTCATTTCACAATGTTGTTGTTAATATGCTGTAAAAAGACACGGTTAAACGGCATCTTGTTATGTTCGTTCAAAAAAGAAAATATGAATTAACAATCGTTCCAACCTTACGCCTGTCATCCCGCATAGTTCGACCGAAGCGTTTCAAATTCTACCCACTTTCGGGGAACTCCAAGTCAAATAGGACTTGTTGAATTCTCATTTTAGCAATGGTCTTATTTCTCGGGCCCAGTCTCTTAAGAGTTGGTACGAGACTCAGGAAAAACAATTCATCTTCGTCGTCGCACTCGATCCGTTTTCGTTTTCCGTTACTTTCCGACGACAGTGGTGGCGTCGTTGTTGTAGGCTTTACGGACTCCAAGGGTATGAGATTAAACACGGTGTCACTAGGCGAGTCGTTTGGTGTGTTGTAGTACATTGTGATGGTTTTCGGACAGTTTGCTTGGGGGGTTTGTGTGCTAGACACGAGATTGCTATGATTGTTAACAGGCGGAGAAGTAGCTCGAATCGATTGATATTCAGGTGTCGTTACGTGTGGTGTCGGCAAAGGGTCGGGTCGAAGATTGTCCTTTACATGAGGTGTTTGGCTTCTGGTCGTCGTTGGTTTTAAACTTTCCATTACATGACGACTTGTCGCTTGCTCTGGTTTTAAGCTATCTCGTGCGCGACTGGCTATATTTGAGCTAGGTACTTCTATCAGATCGCCTGAATTGTTCTCTTCTCGCATTATTTCACCATAACTGCTGTGGTACGCATCCTCTCCGTCTGTTGAATAAACGTTATTTCACGCAATGTCATAGAAAGGCGATTTGAAATGAGAAACGCTGTGAAAATATCACTCACTTAAAAGGGCCAGTGTGCGCAGAAATATTATGGTTTCGCTGGGTGATTTGGTAGGCCCCTTTGCACAATGAAGGACTATATAGCTCGATTCAACCACCCTAACTTGGGGGAAGGGAGCCAAATATTTGTCCCACAAAATTATTTTCACCTCTCATTTGGTTTCCCATATAATGTCGTCTAGCTACTTGTATTTATCACGGAAATTTATAAGGGTTATTTTCCAAAACCATATCAACCAAAAACCGGGCTAGATTTGGGGTTTTGTCCAAATAAAACCAAAAGCACAGTATGCGTTTGCAATTTTAACATTAAAAAATGCTGTCTTTTACAATGCATCTGATCATTTGTGTTACCACTCGAAGAACAATAGTGAAGTGATCAATATTTACCTGTCATGTAATCACTATAAAAATCATCTTTAGCTTCATTGACTGCATATTTCACAGACGTCTCCTTGTGGTCGATGTGACTCGCAAGCCAGTCTAAGTTTACAAACGCCAAAGGTAGGGGCGGCACTTTGGCTCCTGGCGGCGTATTTCGTTTTTTCTTTAAATACCTGGTATAAGAACTACGCATTGTTTTATACTTTTTATCCGCATCTGCTGGGGTGATACCATACTTCGCTGCTATGGCCGACCAGGCATTGTTCTTGGCGTTCTTGTCTGGATAGTCTTTGTCGTACTTGTCGTAAATGCAAGGGTACTGTCGTATGTCTTCCATTAGTCGTTCACGAGAGAACTCCTCGACGTAGTTTTCGTGTTGCATTTCCATAAGTTTAATTAAGTTCTGAAAAAACACAACATTGTTCAAGGTCTAATCCCAAACACCTCTACTAGATAATAAATTGCGTTTCAGAGGCTTCCATTGCAATTTATTAACTCTGTTTCATCGAGTCAAACTTTGCAATCATTTTAAAAACTTTTTTTTAAGAATAATTCAAACGTTTTGAGCCCTTTTACGAGTCGATCCATCTACCGATCACTGTGGATTCCCGGTTATAAACTTAGTCTACCGCAGTTATAACAAGCGAGAATTAGTATACAAACATTTACTCTACTGTACAGGTTAAAAGTGCAGACATTTTCGTAAACTTATCAAGATTGGAACTGAAAGGCAGAAAGGTTGTAAGTGTTAAACAAGAGTTGCCGATGGCTTACATCTCCATCCGTCCAAAACACTAATAAAACTTTCATCAGTTTAAACAATATAACATAGAGTTTGAACAAACTTACTGTCACTGTCTTGGACCTTGGTATATTGTATTTGTCTCATGCGTATAAGTAAAACAACTGGTCAAACTCCCAAACTGAGAATTCAATGGAAGACACTAACCTGTCTGGTGAAAAAATAAGACGCTCGTCAAAATTTGTATTAATTATTTCAACAATTTTCGTCTTATATTGCCAAGTCCTAAGCAAGAATATACAAGATCCCAGTGTTGTGTGAGGCGCTTGTGTCTTCTCAGCAACGTGGCAACACAATGCAACACATTTGCAGGTGGCGTGTCATGTTATATTGTTAGACAATGAGTATTGAATTACAGGTCATATAGATAGACGTCCCAATATAGTACTCGAATTATAATAAAACCACTGGCCAAGGTTGAAAAAGGATTACAACTTAATTACTGGTTAAATCTAAAGCTTAATTTTGAAACGTGTATCCTGAATGTTAATTTAGTGCTTTTCTATGAGGGAAATCCTAACCGTTAATTTTCCCTAATGTCCGTTTTTGTTTTCTAAGAAGTTACTTTTGATAGGCCATAATAGTTAGGGGGTTATTTAATACGTTAGTTAGGGGTTAGGGTATTTTACACACCATTTTACACACAACTTATGGACAAACCTATATTTCTTCTGCCTATACTGTAAATTCTTGGTAAATTTGAATAAAATCAAAAATACGTAATAAGTGACTTATTACATGATAACTAATGAGTTCTGTCTACAATACTGTCAATAGTGACAAAACATGTATATTTTTAAGGCATGTGATGTGTATATGTGCATGCATTGAAACTTATGCATGGCATATAAGATGCTACATTTGACAACATTGTAATGATTTAACTGCATGACAAGGAAAGTCTATCGTCCTTTATATTATCGATATGTACGTCGACAGAATTTCTGATCTTTTAAATACTGATTTCCTTGTTTCCGGTTCTGCAACTTGTCAAATTCATTACTGTAATTTGTACCTGGGCTAGGCTTGTCTTATTCGCATGAGCGCGATACTGCAATATTTACCGATAAAAGGGGTAGAAATATACAACAGATTACAGTAAATCTAACTTTTCTAATGTTTTTAACATGTATTTGACAACAACGCGCGAGTTTATTGAAAAACATCAAAATATTCTGAAACGCTACAATGACTGCATATGTAGTAAATTGCATTTTAACACGGATAACGAGTAAACTAAAAACGCTACAAAATGCAAGCCTTCCTAATTAACGGCGTAAGCTGTATAAAGACACTTCCTTGACCTTATTCTCGGAACAACATTTTATACTAACCACTTTTAAGTTTTAATACAAGCTCAGGCTGCTCAGCTGTGTGTTTAAACACGCCACAATGCCACAATGACAATATAAAAGTAATAAGTATATGTGAGTTGCGAAGTGAAATATAGAAATCAAACAACGTATGTTGATATGATGATGTTCCAGTCTTTATTAAATATATCGTCAAAGAAACATCGCTGCTCATTGTCAAGGACAAGCAGCATTTTACATGTGACCACAAGTTCTAATCTGAACTGTACGAAACATTTTCCCTTGAATATAAGCTGTGTACAGTGTTATTACAAACTGTACAAACTCGTTATCGCCATAAGACTATGATGTATACTTATAGCAACGCCAACGGTGCTAAATCTCATACAGACTACAGTACAATACAAATTTTTAATACAACCAAAATTGGACGGGATCTTATTCGTAGTTGTTCACGTCGTATTTATAGATCCGGGTTATTCGAACAATCAAATGTAAAGCCGATTTTTCAAAAGTTTTCGCAGGCGATTGGCTTTGCCAGCCTGTTGTGTTGTGTGTGTCGAATAATAACAATAGGTATTAAATAACAGTCAAGGTTAGGTTGCGAATTAGAATTATAAAATCGAACAATCAACAAACTCACTAGCCTGTATAACTATAAATATTCCAGCCAATTGTTAAATAAAATTTTGTCAATACTTACAGTCTACAGAGTTAGGTTTAAGCTGCCAACTCAGCTCAGCTACGTTCTTTCAAAACGAAGAGTATTGTGTTGCTGTGTGTATTTTGCGAGTTGAACAGTATTTTATTACCATATTTTCATTATTAGCATGCAAATTATGTTGCGTGTCTTTCATAAGTTATAACAATATAACATGCTAAATTACTTTGTAGCTTACCGATTTTCAATTGCAGCCAAACGTTTGTGAGCTTTGTCTTCTAAACGAGATATAACCGAAACCAGTAACCTCTAAAGCGGTATTTTGTCTTATAAAAGCGAAGAAAACAGGCATAAATACGTATCAGCGATATTTGATATTGTTTATGTTCAATATGGGTTATATGTGTAACCGGAAGTGAGAGTTTATGTTGGGTCTCAGTTGTATCCATATGCATGTCCACCTACATTTACGTCCTGTCCTTTATAGCAATATGTCTTGTCGTTGCAAGGATGTTTTCACAATTCATATTGAGGGTTATTATTTTACAAGTCATGACATGAAACATTTAATAATGGAATTTTTTCTTATACATTCCTGAGTAATGCCATGGAGTTTTCAGTTATGATTATATCATGTCAAAGGCGAAAACAGCACCCGACTTTATAAAACGGCGAAACTGTCAATTTCAGTTTCGTTTAGTGATAAAGCATATTATGTCATGACACCTTTTTCATTTAATGTCTTTTTGTAGCATTAAATAAAAATTTCAATTTTACTGGAATTTTCCATTGCACGGTCTAGCCGTGTTTTTTCTATTACAGTTAGCTACAATCGCATTGATTAATCTAAATAATATGGCCGGTGGGATTATCATCTATAGACAAACATTTTACTTCATATTCAACAACATATATATTTTGGTGTTTTTTGTCTGATTTATAAAATGCTACCGAAATTCATTCGCATCCGTTACCTTACCACCCCCTATAGGATTCGACACTACGATTATAACAGATTTAATAGGTGAGGAAGAAAATAATCGGATCGTTTTTTGCTCGTATTAAAGTTGTTCTACTTTTATTCAGAGACAAAACTGAGCCCTTGATGGAACTGTCTGAAGAGAAGCGAAATGAAATCAAAAAGGCGGAAAATGCAAGGTTTGTATTATAGCGGCGTAGGAACCAGGGGCACGTACCCCCCCAAAAAAAAAATTTTAAACGGACCAAAAGTGCCCTTTTTGTGACGAAAAATGCCTTTTTGGAGAAACTAATGCAGCTGTAAAAATACTATTTTAAAATCGAAGGCGCCCTTTTTGTTTTCTACGTATACACTTGCCCACATACACTTGCCCACATCATTTTATAAAGCATAAATATACACCGCACTCTGGGCCGCCCTGAGAGGAGGGCAAAGGGAGCAATTTGCCTCGGGGCCCCAGGGTTACAAGGGCCCCCAAAACGCTAACGCGTAACTTGTAAAAAGGCTACGAATAGCCCAATAGGTCTATTCAATTCCTAGAAACTGATGACCAATCTCTCCTATCCCCTGTCAGACATGTAACCTCGGATTGTTAACGCAGGATTTGTCAATGGTCCAATTTTTAGCGAAAAACCACTTTTATTTTACGAATAGCCACTGTTATATTTTGTAGGTCTGCAAGCAACGTAAGCAAAACGTCGTACAAACCTAAGGAAAGAGCGCTAAAAATTTACACAGATAGATAAATTTCACAAGACGAAAACGGAATTACGGATAGACCAAAATATTGGCCTAGTCTCGTGGTGTATATATAGTCAAAAATAGTTACATATACGAACACGTTATCTCGATTTTAATTTCACAAAGGCAACACTTATACATGCATGCAGAATTTTCTGAACGTGGCCAGACTCCCACCAAGTGGACTTTCTGGCTATCAGCAATCTTGTTATAGTTCAGTAGACCATAAGTCATAGAAGCTACGGAAGTCTCAGAAGTATATAAGTATACCGTTGACTTAATATTAGGGGGTGATTCTATGGACACGTTACTCTATGTTAAGACAAGTAAATTCGCTTTATATTTCTTGCGTTTTCGGTTAGTAATAGTAAAACTCACAGACTGTGAATGTACATAAAGGTCCATTAAAACGAGTTGTTTATTCTCCAGCTTCTATGATTTATATGGACTGGCTATATATATGACTTATTGCATCCATAAAAACGCACAATTGTGTAAAGCAGTCTTCGTACACTATATACGCTCATTTCAAGTTGATCATATATAAAATTATATATATTTCACAATCCCGAAATAAACTGTTAACAACTTGTAACAGGCAAGTAAAATCAAAGAAGTTACAAGGTTGACGACACATGCATGCATGGTTGTAAGAATATTGTTATATTAATAGCAAGTCCAGTAACTCAACTATTACAACGAGTAGTTTTATTTATGTTTGCAGCGTGGGATAAGTGGTCCGATAACCTGTTTTTTTATAATTATCACAAGGTATTTTATATTCAACAATGCTAATTTAGGTTTATTGTTGTTATACAGTATTGGGGAAACGAGGAAACCGAACATCGATTTTGCAAGAGGAAAGTCATATATGGACGTTTCACTGGACCCCCCCCCCCTCTTTGAAGGTTTAGCACTACTCTGCTACACTACTATTTTCGTTCTGTATATAGAGATTACCTTATGGTTGGCGAGTACGTACGACTTTTATGCACGAGTTGTGAAGGATCGCAAAACGAACGAGTGAGCGTAGCGAACGAGTGAATTCGCGATCCTTCACAACGAGTTCATAATAAAAATCGTACAAAGGAGCCAAGCATGAAATAATTTGTTTATTAAATGTGTATAGAAATCAATTTGACAACGACACGCTTTTAATATACAAAAACAGCGAGCAACAAAAATCGAAATTTAATGCATCAAAACATATTTATTATCGTTCAGTTTCTTTGTAATTTTGTTCAATAGAAGTTATAGATATTCTTTCCGAAAGATTTTAGAATGTGACGCCATCTTTGAAAGAAAATGTAAACAAATTGCCGCCAAAATGACATACGACAATTTTTCACGTGTGAAGAATATCGTACGTCCAATCAAAAGCCGTGTATGGCAGTTTTTGACACGTGAAAAACGTCGTACGTCCAGTAAAATTGCATGAGATTAATTTACACAGTGAAATACGATTTTTATTTCATCATTCTGCTGTGCATAAATCTCTATACACATATAATAATTATATTTATTTTTCCCTTGGATCTTGTTTTCATCTCGGGGAACGGCAAATTGCTCTTTTCAAGGCTCCCCCATTGAATGGCTACTCCTCCTCATCTATTAGAAGAAAAATGCAGCAGAAGAAAAGAAGGCGTTTTTCAGTCACTGCAACACCAATTCGGCGCAAGCAATTTAATTGCTACATGGCAGCCTAGAATGAAGGATGGGTTGCGTAGTTTTTCAGTTGAGTGAAACTGAAAGTGCAGACTATTCCTATTTAGTATACACCCGACTATTGTCTATTACAAATCCTACATTCTGATTGGCTACTCAACCATCGTCTATTCGTGATAGTGCACGTTTGGGAAAAATTCGCTCGCGCGACCGTATAAAATTGCATTAATTAAATTATTTTTCGGTGTAATTTTGCGGTGTATCGATTATTTTCTCGAAATTAAATCTAGGTACAGGGTGTATACTAAAACAATTAGACAACTCGCCTTCGTTGCCTATGAGCGGATAGTCAACTCAGGCTTCGCCTTCGTTGACTATTCGCTCATAGACAACTCGGACTCGTTGTCTAATTGTTAAATATGTATAAGTAACCCTGCTATACGTTTTGTGACCGTAACATAGTGTTAACATAAGTTGTACCCTAAATTCTAAGTACAAAGTCCTTTCACAGTCTCAAAACTTATCAAAAGTCATTTGGTATCCAAATTAGATTTCTTGAAGCAATTTTTTTTACCCCTTCCATACGATGCAGGAAGAAAATTTCGCAAAAATTTCATGGTGTGTGAGATCTTCGACAATGCTTTTTACATTACCATTTGCCGACGAACCATTTTACGCGAGAAACATGTCCAAAATGTCGGAGCATTTGGTTATAACCCAGTCTTTTGTACACGGCATTTAATATATACAAGTTTGCCGTCTGTCCAAACAGTGGCCCAAACAAAGTTCTCATTCTTGTTTTTTGCTTTGGGTTTAGATTTCTGTTTTGAATTCGACATCCCACCTGTTACACGCGGGTGGCGAACATGGAGGTGTACTGCGGGATCAAGTAACTCTAGGCAAATCGTTTTTAATTTTGTTTGACGTGTGGACGCGGATAAATATTTTAACGGAGAAATATTTTTGCGTTTTAAAATTCTTCCGGCATCGTGTGGACGGGGCCGTATACTACATAAATACCGCGTTTCACTATTGGCCTAGATCTTGCCTGGACGCATGTCGCAGGGACAAAATTTGATTTGCAGAATCAGAATGCATATATCTTGACTACTTCCGGTAAAACGTTACATCATTTGCGATTTTACATGAAGTATTAAAAATTTAGGAATTCTGATTGGCTCTGCCTGAAAATTTCGGAATTGCTCAAAACGAAATTCCTCCTTGTTGCTTGCTCCTGGAACAACCACGACATACATGTAGCACGAACCATTTCCTCGTGTGGCCATAGGACATCACCGCCGTGTGGCAACCGTCAAGGGATTTGTCCCTGCAACATGTACCTCCGTTTTACCGCACTTTTTAAGACAATAGGCAAAAAACTTTGATTTCGAGAAATCTATATAACCTCTGACCTTTGGCGAGGAAAAACCAATGGGAAAAACCATTGGGGAAAACTCGTATATAACTTCCGATCATGCGCAGTTTGTTTGTTTTTTCAGGGTCCTCCCCCTCTTGGGATCCTTCTTGCATGTCAATGTTGGCAGGATTTTTGATACTGACACTACATAACATTTAAACAAAAAAGACATCTTATACATAATGTTTGGCTCGCACAAACCAAAGGTTTATCGTTCTAGCAGTGGTTGTTGCATTTGTGGGTCAAAATCCTCTAGTTCGCGTTTTACTCCGACAGAAAAATACGAAAATCTGTTCACGGCTTGCTTCAACGTCGAGCAAGGTTCCCGAACGGGTCTGATTTGTAATGCTTGCGTTTTGCTCGTAAAACGTTGGCAAAAGTTACCTAAAGAAAACAAACGATCATGGAGCCATGTGAGTATGTTATTTGCTGGAAACTAACCGTTTGTGGTGCAATTGTATATTTTTGATATTCCCTTCAGGTTGTCGACGGAAAATGCAAATCTCGAAGGGGCTCGAGACGTTCAACATCAACAGACGAGAGAACCACCGCAGAAAAATCGGACGAAAAAATGCCCAACACAGCTATAGCACCCAATGACAACGATCAAAAAGGCAAGGGTGAGTTTCAACGGGTCATAGTCTTCGATATTTTCTTATTTTTGTGAGGTTTATCTGTTCACAATGTTATTCTCTCGTGTTAACATTGGAGGGTCTTTGCCGATATTCAATGGAAATAATTATCCAATTTCTCTAATGAAATTAGACTCGTAAAAATGGCTGCGAGTGTTGTATGAGATGTGGCTTTAATTTAGCTCTGTTTCAAAACAAGAGCCTATCAGAGAGGTTTCGAACGCAAATGCATTTAGTTATATTTCAGTATTCCTTTTGTTACTACCCCTTGCCTTTGTCAATCAGTTAATGGATAGAGAATAGAGAATAGATACTCTATTAAGACATTACAGCCCCAACGATCTAGTAGTGTTATATAAAGTTGAAATACGTACCGACGGGCGATTCTATATGTCCGAAAGATATGTTTGTCTTGAATAGATCAAATCAGATAAAGTAAAGCTGTGACACTGTTGTATTTAAAAAATTGTAAACCCTATAAACAGCCATTTTGTGTCTGTTGGTTTGGTAAACTACGGTGACAGTGCCGGGCTTATTGTCTTGCATGGAAATGATAGCAAATTCACACAAAATCTTGTCTCCTGCAACTGCTTTAAGAAGCTTTAGTTCATGAATTTTGTTGCTGCAATTCTGTCCACTTCTGTCTTGTCTTAGTTGAATAAAATAAATACTATGATACTAACTAAAGGTCCACAAGTCGAAAAAAGAATAAAATTGTTTGTTATTGAGAGAGAAGATTTCTTCAGTTTAATAAGGCCAATTTGGCATGCAGCTAACTTATGGTTAAAAAGAGGCATAGTACCAGAGCAATGTTAGACCATGACATGGTAGTGTTAATATACCCTAGTGCAGGAAATGCATATCAAGCCAAAATCGTAATGAGACATCACCCAAAATTGTTCAACACCATCTAGGCCAATTTAACATTAACAGTTTTAAAACCATCTGTGATGATATTATTATGTTGAACAATTAAAGTGAGATAGAATTGTAATCTGTAATAATAAATACAACATTATATATTCAATTTTTAAATGTTTGGATTCCCACACATGTAATTTAAATCCATTATATTAATGCAAACATTGCTTCCCCAGCAATCCCATTATTGAGGTTGCATGCTATATATTTTGGTGTAAGTGTTTTTGTTATTATCACATACTATACAGTTTTTTTAAACAACCAGCTGCCAAAAATATATCGACCTAATAGTCTTCTCACAGGAATGAAACTGTGAGTTTGCATTTGAATTCAGTTTGCATTTGAGATGCCTTGCTGCACATGGTCACAGAGCAACAAACTCCTGTTATCAACAAACTCCTGTTTACCCTAAATTAATTTATTTATATTATTTTGGTATGATGTGTGAAAGCTGTTCTATAGCTATAAGGACTAGAAACTCTATATGAGCTATTTCTCTGCCAGCATTTCATCAATAAATACCTTTTAAAACTAGTACCAAGTAGACTTTGTTGCCTGATAGGCTAGAAATGTTCATTGTTTGAAAGAATTTTCACTGATTGGATACATCGATAGATAAGATATTTTATGCAAATTTTTATTCCACTTGGTCTTTGTAACAGTGAAATTATTCAACTGGTATAAAAATCATTTTTTGTAATAATCCATTGATAAGATTATGACAAATGACCCATTATTCCACTCAAAAGCTGTGTTTATATTACACCTCTTTTGAAGCTTATACCTGGCTCTGACCTAATATTTTATAACTAAGCACTTTGACATTTGAGCCTACATCAGGAAATCTGTGACTCTACAGTTAATATGATCCAACTCAATTGTGTTTAGACTTTAGGCGCATGCATTGCTCAAGCATTCTTTTCTTTATGCATCGTGTATATGAATATTCTAGTATTCACGGTAAACACCGTCTTTTTCATATTTATTTGTTGACAGTTTTGAGAGATGTATTAGTTTCTTTTTCGAAATCGTCGTTTTGAATATTGGTGTTTTGCGTCATGTGTTAGTTGTGTTGAAACATGACAGACAGACAACAGAGGTTAACCATGCAATCTTGAACAAAAACCATTCATTCTTTGGAGTAAAGGGCGTGTTCAATGTTTCAAAGGTCTCTCAAAAAAGCGCATCACAATTCGCACATCCGTCTGCATGTTTTTGGCCGAGATTAAACGTGGAGCGTTCTGCCAATCAACTATTTCTCATATCGAAAGGAGGCTAATATACCGCTCAGTGCTGTAATTCACTCACGCTGACACTTAAGGTTAAACTTAAATGTGCCTAACTTTGTGTACGAGCATTAATTACACCCTCTTAGCCAACCCAGAAGATGAATTTACAAACTTTTGTCTATATGACACACACGTCGGCACAACAATCCTGTAAATCCAAGCGTAAATTTCAGTGCTTTTTAAAGAATTTCATTATTACGATTATTGAAAATAAAACAATATTAATATATATGATATGAATATAAACATCCATTAATTAGGCTTCATGATTGTGTAAATTGCTTTTGTGCAGTATGTTTGCTCCGTCTTGTAAGTTATGTATTAGCTAATTGTTATGGTATCATACATGTCACAAAATTCTTGTATCATACATTAGATCCCCCCCCCCCTTACTTTTTCATACATAGATCAGGTTTTACTAGATTGGTTGATTCTTTCAAGAACATAACGACCCTCTGATTGACGTTTAATCAAATTAATGCCAATAGGCGTAGGGCAAGTGGGAGGCAAATAAGTATTTCCGTAAGGGTTAACACTAATCAGGCTCCGAACAACCGGCCCTAGCAAAAACCCTCAACATTGTCAAATTGTTTTAAAGTCTAGTTTGCCTGGCTCTCACAGTCTTTTCCGGCTCTAAGGTTTATTGTTTCGCACGTACATGCATGCCCCTGTTATGCTTTTCGAGCTTACAATTCAGGTTTTGCAGTTTTGAACATTTTTCAGGGAGTTGAACTTGAACACGGCGTCAAAACGACGTCAAACGTTGTGTACACATTAGATAAACATCGACATCCAACTGCATATACAGCTTATATTTATACGGCTGAAAAACGGTAACATAAGTAGGATAGAATTGGTCAAGATGCCTCCCCACCCCGTTCCCCATTCTCTAACTTGGATCCTTCCCATGACACCAAGCACAACATCGACTATAGTTTTCGTACTATTCATGATATGAATGTGATACCGTTCTTCTACAGGAACAAGTCATCGTTTCAGTGATTCCAGTACACCGCCTTCGTGCAGTCCATCACCAAGCGAGATATCAGATTCTGCCATCGCTGACAATGGTCGAACATCCACCGCTTGTCAAACATCTTTTGTTTTCCCTCAATTAATGGAGAATGAAATGAAATTTCCATATATTAATCTGTCTGGTTGGAGAAGAGAGGAAGTGTGTTGTGGAACTATATTTAAAGGCCCAAATGGCGAGGTGCTGGTTGATCCAAAACTGCTCAAGCCTTATTGTTACTGCGCCCGAGGACAAAGTCTTGTGAAACAAAACTCGCTGGAAAATTAGGCCTGAAAGTATATTGTGTGCCGTTTGCATACATTTAAAAACCACGCTATTCAGCACATTGATTGATTGAAACAACAAAATTAGCCATCTCGACTAGTATTTCCGGGTGTTTTACCGAAATACCATTTGTACAGAAAATGATTCAACAAATCACAAATCGTGTGGATTATTTCAGCTAACTCGCAAGAATTGGTGAACCTCGTTCGTCGATTTTGACTCCACTCACGCAGGAATATCCTGTTTTCCAGTGGTTCCGTTGAACAGGTTCCTTCCTTTTGGCTCATTTAGACACTTCGATGTTGTTGAGAGATAAAAGAGGATAGCCTTCTTCTCTTTGTCATTTCAACAGTCTACCAGACACAGCATGGTTTTCTTAGCTCATCAGTTATACTTCAGAAGTAGATTGCGTCTTGGTTTTCTTCGTCTAATTTGTACACACAAATTTCCATGTCGTTGTCTGATTTATACGTCACCTATTCGTATTCTCTTTCAGTAGGGATGGTTTACTCGAGGGTGCGTGCATCAGGGACCCCCCACCTCTAGCCTTAGCAGATGAGGTTGTAGTTTTTTTGGCAATCTAAGCAATGCCTTCGAGTTTTTCAAGCAAACATTCTAATCACCCCAAGCCGGTGCTTTCTCTCGTCTATGGCTAGGGTCAGCTCCCTCCCCTCCCTTGCGCTTTCTTTTCGAAGCAATCTCTTAACTTACGTCTATTACCTTTAAAATTAAAATGTTTGTTTTATAAACGTTCTAGCTAGATCTATTAAGTTTATATCTGCCATTTGACAGATAAAGTCCTCGCAAAAGTCCTGAGGTCTCTAAGGCCGTGTTTACACTATAACAGATTTGCATGGTCACGACATCAAAATTAGCAATATCAAAGCGAGTTTTACCCCCTAGAAATATGATACCATGGTTGCTTTAACATGATCTGCCAAATAAAAAAGTTCTGGGGACAGTAGCCGTAAAAAAACTTAAAGTGATGTCGTGACCATGTGAATCCGGTGGTCTATGCCATGGACTATTGCCCCGTTTACACTGCACTGAATTTATCAGCACGACACGGCTAAAATGGCCTTTGTATTATTAGCCTGAACATGCATTAATAAAATTGGGTACGGGGAACCAATTTTAGCGGTGCCGTGCCAATAAATTGACTGTAGTGTACGGGACTTATATGGCTGGGCAGGGATATATTAGGAAATATAAGAATGTTTAGAAGTGTCAATAGACACTTCCCGAATTTGTTCTGGCGCAATAAAAAGCTTCCTACTAACAAAAGATTTTATTGCCCGCCTCGTTTCCAAGCTATTGTTTTGTGTGCACTCAAGCATATTCGGGAAGTATCTATATGTATTGATATTATATACTAGGATTGTATACTGTTTATATTTTAGTAACATTATTTATAAATTAGTTTTAAGAGGACGGTTACATGGACCCGGCCAGAGGGCTTAGTATAAGAATCCTTTATTATACTTTCGCATTTTCGATTACAAGAAAGACGATAGCAGGCTTTGAAGAGATTTCTTTTGTTACAAACCTGGCTCGCCATTTCCATCATTGTAATCGGTTTTATCCCAAAAAAACGGGCTGAGATGAACTGACAATAGCGGTTTACACGCTTGAATCGTAAGTAGGAAATGTAAGAAAAATTTTAAGACGCAAGAAAAACTTATTGCAAAATCTTAAAATGCATGTTGCGTGCTTAAAATTTTTGAATGATATAGTGACTACAATATATAATAAATACTTTAAAATTTCCAACGTGTTATTGCAAAACCCAGTTAGAGTTAGAGTAAAACGGGTATTAAGGACTTTTCACCAAGGTACGAGAAATTTAGGAACCCAGGTGACAAATAATTTTAGGGTTTTTTCTTATAGGCGTTTTTAATTTTCTCTAGACCACTTGCCTGTGACGTCACACATGACGAGCTTCGTAACTAGCCGCCACCTTGGGGGGCAAAAATTTTTGTAAACTAGTATTTTGACTCTTTAAAAGCACCTGTCTTGTAGCGAAGACGAGTTTATTTTGCATTTGCTGACATTCACAACTGTAGAAATGCTGAAATATTAGAAAATTACAACATTTGCCCAGCAATCACTGCTATCAGTGCAATGCAGAGACGAACTAAATGGCTTTGGGGTTTTTTTTGGAAAGGAACTTTTATCATTCCTCATTCAAAGATATCTGTAATCCTCGTTAAATACCTTTGATCGAGGTCACAAATACGATACTGGGTAAGGTCTAACCTGATCTTCCTTGAGAGAGCACATGAGACTCAATTCTGCTCACAAAAGTTCTCTACAACATCAAATCACTATCGTAATTATCGCTACTCTGGTTTTAATAAAATCATGAAAGTAATCACCACACAAAGATTAACTTTCACGACCCAACGTTTCGACACTCCGGTCTAGTGTCTTCATTAGGTCTTCATCAACCCCTGATGAAGACACTAGACCGGAGTGTCGAAACGTTGGGTCGTGAAAGTTAATCTTTGTGTGATGATTACTTTCATTATTTTATTAAAACCAGAGTAGCGATAATTACGATGGATTATATACCTGGTTGCCGTGAACTCATTAACTTCAATCAGATCACTACTTCAGTAGCTCTCATTCAAGAACATGTACTACCTCATGATTGGATGATCTAACCCTGACTCAGTCACGTGGATTCTAACGAAAATCATTAAGCTAAGTGCACATGATGAATTTTTAAAAAACTTATATACAATGCTTTGGATTCTTGTTTTGTGGATTTTTGGCCGTGAGATATTGGAATGATCGGTCATGATGATAATCCTGTCAATCAGGTTTCGCCACAGAGTACATACATTGCACGTCGAAAATCTCAAAACAGCGTTGAATTGAGCATGACAAACTGTAGCTCTTTTCATACCAAACACCCCTCTTCCTGTTGATTTGCAAATGAGGAAAGGAAATAATAGGAAATAATATGATTCGTTGTCCATGAATTTAAGTTTACCTATTTTACAGAAACAGATCTGGAACCTTCCCCACTGGCGTAAAAAAGCAAGAAATTGCATGTCTGCATTCTAAATTTCCGAATTGTTAAGAAAAACAAACTCAAACAGCCAAACCGTCCCAATACATATTTTTTATTAATGAAAATTGCCCCTGAGAAATAGTGTCTCCTCAATTTTGCGTCCCTGTCTTTGCTATATTAATCATTGATTTACTTTTTGACAGGATTATTATAATCTTTGCATTTACAATAATTGCAAATATAAAATTGCCGTACAACGACCAACTCATACATGCATGCATTTTAAAATTGTTTTTTTTGGACGCTGTTGTAAAGTTCTCTCCACATTTTATCAAATTTGTGTTTATCAATGCTCGCCAGCGCTTCTAAAACTCTCCAAACTCTTCTTGCGTCACATAGAAAATACTCGGCATTATCAGGATGCGTCTCGCAGGATTCGGCACCAAAGCAACCAGACATGCACAACCGTGCTTGAATACAATAAAATATTACATCACTTTCTTCCTGGGATAGGGGGCAAATCTCATGAAATCCAGCAACTGTGTACGCACCAACTTTGATTATGTCATCTTCAGCTACATTCATCATGTACGCAGCGGCGATAGCAATTTCGAAAACTCTGCAACTATAATTGACATCTCCAAAATCAATGAAACCTGAAACTTCTAACTTCTCCGAATCAGGGTTTTTTCTGATAATTACATTTCCGCAAGTAATATCGCCATGGATGCATTGCTTTGGAAGAACATCCAATCGAGGCTTTACAAACCTTTTGAATAAATTCTCCACATCTTTTACTAACTCTTTTTGTTTTGATGAAATAAAATCAAGTCCACTTAACATTGTGTCAAAGTAATACAGATCCCAGCGATATTCCCTTTTCGTCAGGACAGGACAATTTAAATCCTAAAACGATAACGTAATGAAATTTAACTTAAAACAAAGTAAAAAAATAGGTCCGCGATGATATTCGGGACTAAATTTGATCAAAATATATTGGCAAATTTTATTTGCGAAGTGATAATTTAAATACTTAATTCGCATAGTATAATTAGACACCACGGAAATTGGTAAGACTTGAGGCTGCTTTTCAGTTACGCGTTTTTCACACGCACGTAAAAGTCTAAATCCTTATACCTGTTGCCTTTGAAAAAAATAAGTAAATCGAAACTTAGTTTTCTGCATTTTTTAGTATGCATTAATTGACCTAGATGTTAAATAATAAAAAGTTAAAAGCATTTAAAATTTTCCGTACGTGTACGTGCGTATAAAAAACAAAGTGGAAAGCAGCCTTTAAGCGTAACTTAATACTTAAGGCTGTTTTCCACTTACGCGTTTTTCATATGCACGTACACGCACGTAAAAGTCTAAATCCTTGTACATGCTACCTTTGAAAAAACCAAGTGAATAAATCGAAGGAACTTAGTTTTCTGCATATTTTAGTATGCATTAGTTGACCTAGATGTTAAATAATGAAAATTTAAAAGCATTTAAAATTTTCCGTACGTGTACGTGCGTATAAAAACGCGTAAGTGGAAAGCAGCCTTTAGACTTTAAATTATAAATATTCAACGAAAGAAGATTGCACAAAAGATTTAAAGCTTGCATACGGTGAAAACGAATCGCTTGAAACTCTGAATTAATAACCCAACCTCGTACCCAGAATAATAAAACCCTGTAGAGTGTCTTTTCCGGAAGTAAAAAGTACACATGGTAAACCGAAAAAACGTGGGCATTTTATACATGGCCATGATTTACATAAAAGGGTCATTTCGTCCGTAAAATATCTTCAGAATTAAATTCATTTCCATAAACATTTATATAAAGTAACAGCTACCTAAATCCCAATTAACACGAAGCGTACTGTAAATCATGGCCTCGCCGCGCTGCATTCCTTCGCCGTGACATCATAAAATGCGCGCGTTTTTCCGCATTACTTAGAGGGAAACTTAGAGGGTAGGAAGAGCTGCGATACACCTGTAACGAACAACCAAAATAAAAGCACTTCACTCTATATAGCTGTGTGCAGCATAGCCAAAATCCGTTGGCTCGGCCTTTGCATTGTATTGTATTGTAAGGGTCAATTATACTATTATCACTATAGGTGTTCGGTGTTCCAATATAACACATGAGTCATGAGGCGGTTAAAAAGATTGATAACTTATCCAACAGATAAGTCCTATTTATAGGATAAACCTGCTATTCATTTTATCCGAAAGGTATCGATTACTACCGTCATTTGTTCGCCAATTTGTTTGCGTTTTTTATACAACACTAGTTCATATTTTATTTCGAGGTACCGCTATTTCGTTGTAGTTTAATTGGAGGGTTCTTTTTGTACGTTTTCTAACTATAAATGAATCCTTTTGTATTGAATACATTCTTATGTATATCAAATTTACCGAATTGGATTTCTTACATCAAATTTTGTAAAGGCCCATTTACACTACACAACTTTTGCTTACAACTGTCGCATGCAACCTGCCTACAACACGACTTGCTCATGATCCACACTTGTACAACTTTGAGTTTACAATCACCAGGAGTTGTATAAAATTTCGCGGATTTTATCTCGCTTTTGAACAAGTCTTTGTGTTTACATTGATAAATGACTGGCTCCTTACTCCACAGGTTAATAAGCGTTTCTGTTTCTTCGTCAGTAAATATCTTTGGGTCCTTGGATTTTCTTTTGCTAGATATTACAGCTTTGCTTACATCCGCCATTTTGAAGTTATAAGTTAACATGTATTGTACCCAATTGTAGCCCCAGAAAGGAACATATTTGTGCACAATACGCCACTTTTTTACCATATTTGGCTACGACAGTCGTGGAGTTTTAAAACATGTTTCAAAATCGTACAACTTTTTTCGTGTTGCACGCAGTTGTCGTAAGCGTATTGTTGGCTTGATTTACACTGTGCAAGTCGTGTTGTAGGCAGGTTGCATGCAACAGTTGTAAGCAAAAGTTGTGTAGTGTAAATGGGCCTTAAGAAATCCAAACGACCTCTTCGGAGGCCAAGCGTTCAGACCTCTTCGGAGGCGAATCTCTTCTAGATTTGGAAGAGAACACATCAAGTTGGTCATGCTGTCAGTTTTTATAGCAATTTATTTTATCCTATAGTATACTTTTCATTAGAAATACATAAACACGAAAAAAAGGCCAAAAAGCGCCCTTCGAACAGTTTCAAGCTCGAGTTTCGAGCACGCTGGCTTTTGTTTTGTTTCCGGGGGGAGTGAAATTCTTCTAACACGAGTTGGCTTCAACAAATCACAGGACTTCGCCTTCTGCGCAGTGCCAGAAGCTCTGCTGACGCCACATGGTTCACACGGTTCCTTTTGGTCATGGTATTTACCATTGACCAGGCTCAATTCTGAGCCCGCTATAGTTTAGTATCATTCTCCCCCCTGGATTTTGTAATTAACAGGGTCTCCCCTCTGGTTATTATTAGAGAGCTTAAGCATGCGACGTTTTTGTCAGCACGGACGTCACGCGTACAAAATTTAACGGCTAGAAATGGTGTCAGCCGTTCTTGCTTAAAATCTACGACGGGAAACTGCACGGACTGCGGTTTCTGATTTTAAACAAAAACAGCTGACGCCATCTATAACGCCAAAATTTTGTACGCGTGACGTCCTTGTTGACAGAAACGTCGCATGCTTAAGCTCTCTATTATGATTTTTTTGCCGTCAAATTTTGTTGTTTTGTTTCTTTCGGATATATTTTTCGGCCTGGCCTGCAATAAAGTGTTTTTTTAAAATCAATACAAGTCGTAGACGCTGTTTTTGCAATTGCAAGAACAAATCTATATTAAAACGTCAAAAAAATGTGGACAAAACGAAATGCTTGAACTTTTTGGCACTATTGTCTGATTTTTTGAGGACAACTGGATATTAATGGACATCAATTAGGCTTTTTTGAACCCTGAACTGCAGAAATATTACTAAAAGTGTGCAATTATTAATGATGTTCTCTTGAATGTCTTCAGGACTTTATATATATCTACAGAAACGGGGGCCAAAGCACAGGCAAGATGCTGGGCAGCTGACTAATAGTAAGTGCCGGAATATAGTTTCATCCAAAAATTATATTTGCATAATATACTATATTTCATTTAGTGTTTTCATTTGGGCAAAACCATACACAATCCGGTACTCGGATTTTTCGTAATATATATTTTAATACATTAGAATTGATTAGATAGCGATTAGACCATGATTAAAAGATTATAAATATCAAAGATCCGAACATAAACGAATTTACAATACCTAAAGAGTGAATCTCTACGGACTAAAATGACTCTTCACTTGTCTTTACAGATAACTGTCTCGAAATGTCTCGACTACCTCAATTTCATTATTTAACTTATGTGCCGGCGGCGTGCTAAATAGCTGTATTGACTTGGCCACTAATTTAATCAAATTGCATGCAAATCAATTGGTTGAATCAAATAGAATCATTGAAACTAAATTTATACTAAATTGTTAATAAAAATTGTCAGCTTGCGAATGTCCGTTCCATATAGGTCATCAGCTTGTACCTCAATGGGCTATAAGAGTTTTCAATATTGTCTAATTGCACCCCTGGTCATGGTAATGAATAATATTCATCCCTCCATAGACTCTATTATTCCTGATTAGCCTAATGAACATAGCCCCCTGGAAGTTGGGTGATACCATAAACAGAAAATTATAAAAGTTGGTGCAGATGGAAGACACACTGCTCAGTCAATGCATGTTTATATTTATTTTTTTCATAAATATAACAATTGTCATAAAAACACCAGCCAACAACAATATCAGTTAACATGGCAATTATCTCAGTTCAATGTTCCAGCAATTTGCATGACAAGTCATCTCTTGCTTTATTTCATGGTATCTTCATCCTGAAAAATAAAATTGAGATCTGATCAAGATTTATTCACAGGTGCAAGAAGCAAAAAAATCATGCATGGAATTGATAAATTGACTTTGGATTGAAAAGGCAAACAAGATAATATATTAACTAGAATTTAATAGCCACTATCAGAGGTTGAAATTTTTACACTGTTTACAGCAAAAATTTATTACTTTGTATCAGCACCCACTCAGCACTTTTGCTAGTCAGATCATGTTAATTGATGATAGGATCTAGTAGACTCACTGGGGAGTGGGGAGAGGTTTACCTTAACATTGATATTTGCTATCATGAACCACATAGGTATAGACAATTAATTGACACTGCCAGGATTAATTTCTTCCCCACACAAGTCAAGAAAAATGATAAAGTTTGGGTATATAACATTAAACATTGCACTGTAATGTACCAAAGGTCGAAAATAGTATATTTGCTGTTTGTACCATAAGTTTTGATGGATTTATTGGCTCAGAGCCTTTGGTAATCAGTTTATATTATAGTCCAAAGGCAAAAAACAATTGTTATAAAAACCGGCTTACCTGGATGCTATTAAAGATAACAGCTAAATGAGAAAAAACTCTACGATAAGTGAACTAGGCCAATCACAACATCAGACATGTGTCTATGTCATAACTATGTCTCCTTTCTATTTGTTGAAAGAAGAACACTTTTATCCTTTTTATATGAAATACAAAAAGATATATACTGAAAGCCGAAAATATTTTCATAAAAACCAGGAGGGAGATGGACACAGTTTTTTTGCCTTGTATTGCGGTATGTCAGTGGTAACTACCATGAGCAAAAGGAACCATGTGGCGTCAGCAAAGCTCAAAATCCGCCATCTTTTTGGCGACACTATTTGACCGAGAGCAAGTCCTCCAGGAATTTTAATATACTAGCTCAGTGAGTAAAACCATAAAGAATAGGATGCTGCCATTATGTTATTCGAATAAACCATGAATAAACGAAACATATAATGAGAATTAGCACAACAGAATTTCAATTTGGTAATAAACTAATAATATGGTAAAAGTATGACCCTAATAATGCTTCATACAAAACACAATACCTTTAATGCATTAGCAACATTACCCACAGCCTGACCAAGCTGAAGGAAGAATTGATATTTGAATGTGTGACCATTCTTTTTGAAATCCTGCATTGTCTTGCCAGGTAAGAAGGTGAACAAACACACAATACAAGGACGTAAATTATCATCAAGTTTTATTCTTTTTGCTTGATCGTTACTTGGTGTTGATGGTAAATTGCGTACTTCTAGATAATTGCCAGCCAAGGTCTTTTGTGGCACAGGGCAAGCGATCCCAGCATCTACCAGACAAAATATAAGTTTGTGCACAGCATCAACGAGATCCAGTTCATCATAACATTGGTTGTAAACTTTCAATAAAAATTCACCTGGCTTGCCATCTTTCACGCCACTAAGGTAGAAATTTTTATCATCATAACTGTCTAGTTCTTTAGCACTCTTCTTCGAGTTTAAGTCAACTTCAAGGCCAAATATTTCATTTGCCAATTGGATAGCTTTCACTTGAGTGACACGTGGACGTTCCATTGCCATTGATGTAGTCATGTACACATTGACGTCAAGAATTGAAAACAAAATATTGCTTGTTCTGCAATTGTTATCCCAGTAAACTGTACGTAAATGTTTATTGCCAAACAGTAAAGAGTGATAATAAAACGTTTGCTTGTTGGCGAGTACTTGGGCTTGGCGAGTACTTGACTTGTATCCAAATTAGCCTGCAGCCAAGGACCCATCCATATATGGAGCTTCTCTCCTCCGCAGAGGCTTTAAAGGAATAAATTCGGATTGCGCTAGAAGGTGGAATTGCGCTAGAAGGTGACGTATCTCATATCTGACAACCGCTGCTTCTAGCGCAATTCCACCTTCTGCGCAATTATACGTCACCTTCTAGCGCAATTCCACCTTCTAGCGCAATTGACCATAACAAAAAAGATGGCGGATGTACATTTTACCAGAATGCATTGCGGTCGAAAATCGCTTAAAAAAGCGAACTAACGTCTTTTAAAGGACAGGCATAAAACAGGAAGTTATTTTCTTCGCTGTGTTAAAATTTCACGTCACTAGGTGTTTTTCTTGCCATCTTTTTTCAGTCAATCATTCTTAATTTCCGCAATGCATTCTGGTAAAATGTACATGCCGCCATCTTTTTCGTTACGGTCAATTCCGAATTCATTCCTTTAAAAGCCTCTGCGGAGGAGAGAGATATGGAGCAATATGGGGCGCAGATTAGCTATATACAATACCGCGGAAAAACGTCTGCGCACGCGTCAACTCTGCCTGTAAGTGAGATTAAAAATAATTCCAATTATACAAGGGCTGAGGAGCCTGATGTATAATTGGGGTTATATGAGTGAACGAAGGGAGAAATATATGAGATTACAAATGGTATGACTTCGTCTTTACCGTGCTTCGGACCAAAGCACGGTAAAAGCACGGTAAAGACGAAGTCATACTATTTGTAATCTCATATATTTCGACCGGAGTTCATGAAATATAATTAAGAAGCGTTCCGAACGTTTCCGAAGGCTAAAAATGGCGGTAAAAAGGAGTGATTTCATTCGTGTCTTCAAATCCATATTTTGAGGGCATAAATAAACACTGCATTATAGAAACTAAGAGAAAAAACGTCCAGAGAGTCCTAGAAGTGGCATCCAACAAAAACACCGGTAAAAGGTGACTGTTAACAAATTTTTCGTCTCAAACATTTTGTTTATCAAATAAGCAACGACAGTTTCCGAACTTTTAATTGAGACACGTTTTATTAAAAAAAAATATGTCGCCAGATACGAGACGTTTACGTGTTTTCCATGATTGAAGATTAAGATGTATTTTACAATTTAAATAGATTAGAAAGCTTAACTTTCCGCGGGTTTTCTTAACTTTTAGGTTTAAACTTTTGTTTTCGAAAAATATTCTAGAGCCACCCCGTAAAAAAAGGAAAATTTACCGTGAATTCCAGTTCGTTCGATACTCTAAATGCTAGAAGACTTTTAATTTATGTTCTGTCTGGCCGTCTTGTATATTTTTGCCTTTTCTTAACTTATATTTTATCAACTAATGGGATGTTTTGTTCAAAAAGTTGATATTTAGATTTACCATCATATTTTGTTATTTCGGCGCGTGCGCAGACATTTTTCCGCGGTGTTGCTATATACAGATTTGAAACTGAAGCCGAATCGACTCAATCGAGTCACACGGTTTTTTGACCAATGTGCGCATGCGTAACTTGCTTGGCAAGTGTCATGTTGAAAATTGTTAGGAAAATCGAATTTTTGACAAAAAAATGCTGATTTAAACAAAACCTTTAGGGCGATGTCCCATTTGACTTAAAATTTTTAAAAAGATGGATAAAGTGGATCTTCTGAGCTAAAAACTAGTTTATGAATATGAAATTATTTTATGCTAGCAAAAACAATTTTGAGTTTAGAAAACATGTAATACATGCTTTAGATACAATATATCTCCAGAAGATAAGACGAAATGAATTAAAACAAATATCTAGGAATAATAGAAATGTGAAAAGGAAATGTTAAGAGCTTAAAAAGGACTTTATGTACTTGAAATGAACAACAACAACATGGCATGTAAATAAGGCGAGCAATTCAGCGTATTTAGCGATTTTAGGCGTTTGGCTATAAAAAAACAACTTCACACCCTCGTCTTGGACTATTTAAATTTTCACACAAAGTTTACAAATTAATGCTTACGCGCGATTATTATGACCATACACGGGTCTTTTTAGCGTAACTCTGAAGACAAAAAATAAGGACATGGCCATATTATGGTTTCAGTTTTGGGTATAAAATTTGCAATAAGACACTCTATGCTTTGATATTATTTAAAAGATTTATTTAACAGATTTAAAAGACGGTTAGAAACTTGAAAAATTCAGATAAATAATATTTACGTGTAAATATGGGATTTCATTGCCAAGAATTTAGCCAGAGTACATATATTCCATAGTGCTAATGCAAATATCCTTCGGCATCAATTGGACCAGCTTTTTTGATTTTCAAAAGTCAATTTTGAGCCATAGATATACTCAATTGCCTTACCACAGTAAGGATACATATACCGATACTCTTTAAGAATTTATTCCAGACTGAATAGCCATAGGTAGCAATTTAAAAAAGCAATTTTTCGTCTTAAAGACGGCGTTATACTCATTAAATTCCCTCATGACACCATAGGTAGCCCAGAAATCTGTTTGTAGTCAGCCTTCGACTACATTGTGTAAGAATGATCGAAAATGATTTGTTTGTTAAATTTTGTTATGTCACTATAACAAACAAATTAAGTACATATCTGACAGTAACAATTAAGTGCATACCTGAATAAATCCCCTGGTCATATCAACATCAAAAACCCCGGTACAAATAGGGTTAACGTTGCACACTGCCGTAGTTGCTGAAACGGCATCGTGATTTCCACTAATTTCACATTATTAACTAGGCCCGGGGTCAAACGTCGTACTCCTCATGCGCCGAACGCCGAACCATTAATTATTTTAATTATTTTAATTCATTTTCGCCTTCAAAGTCGGGCTGAGTATGCCCAAAGGCCAAATCACCCAAATCCAGACGGTAGTGTAGCCGCTTCAACAAGGGTGATCCTATTGGCTCAGACACTAATTGGGGTAGCAAAGGGAGCGAACTAATGAACTTCGAAAGATTTTTTCCGGTTTAATATTCCTAATAAAATATACTATAAAATATATCACCAGTTGTTTTCACCGTGGCAAGCGAGGAGACGATTTGGGGAAGTTATTTTCAGTTATTTCAGGAGATTTTCGTACTACATAAATTATCTTTAATCATGGGGGCATAAATACTGCATGCTATTTAAGAACACATTTTGAATAGCTTGGTGCTAGATAACTATTGGTGGAGGTGAGGTGTCATCATTCCATGAATCAAAGCTATATAGGCATTGAATTATGAGTGAGGTAAATCTTCGAGGTGAAGTTTATTTGATTCAAATAATGAAATATATTCGGTTATGACTACAACAAGGAATAATCGGTGGTTTGTAATAGTTGAAGAAGGATATATCATGTGCCACAAATAATGCAACATGCAAGGAAAGTCGATCGGTATTTGTGAACAGTAAAAAAACCGGATTGTATACTTGCAAACACAGTGAAAAGGTCAAGTCCTCGCATCAGCCATAGTTGAAAGCTTTGTGCAACCCAAGTAAAATTGAGCATGCAATATTCTGCTCATAACAGTACTAAGTCAATAATTTTTATCAATGAGAACAGTGATATAAATATTGCTCATGTTGTACAAGTGTCTGATAAAGTATTTGCAGTGTTGCCCACCTACTGCTTCAAATCCAACGTCGTACCCAGAGTCATTCGTACTTTCGTAGGGTTGATGTATGCCCAGCATTTTGTCAACAAGACCTGGGTGGTTTGTGGACTATGCTCCGGCCTCACTTTGTCTTAATCAATGCATAATGAACCTCGCAATTCATGCGGGGTAATATTCGAAGGAGAATATAGAATTAGACAAGGGTCTTACCTGCAGGATAATATCTTTGTTCCTTCGTTAATACTGGGTTAGAACACGGTTTCATTAGCCACGTCTTCATGGGAAATGCTGAGTCGCCAAGTAAGATTAGCGGCACGAATAACCGACCATGCTCGAATTGACTAAAATTCGGTAAAAGCTTTCCTTCTTTTATATCTGACCAGAGAGATGTTGATTTCAGGGTTACTGCATCATGGGAATTACCAGGAAAGCCACAACTTCCCCACACAAATCTTCCCCACACAATACTTGGCATCTACGACAGCCATTAGCCTAGGACAACTGAATAAAAGTTTTTGAAATTATGGTATTCCTTCATGGATTCGGGCCATTCGGCTCCTCCCGGTGGGCATTTGATCGGTATGTCGCAGCCATCGACAGCTTCCCAACTAAACGGAGTGCCATAATTCTTCCATGTCTTTAATTTCATTCCTGAAACTTCTTGTTTCAGGTGTGTGTTTCTAGATACACGTAAGTGTTTATCAGAATATGAGCTCCACTAACCTTAACAGCCTTCTACGTGATCGATATCGAAAACAAGAATTTTTCGACTGTAAGCTATATAGCAGCTACCAAGTTTGCCTCTAATACTATTCGTCTGCGCGAGAAAGCCAATATCAAACCCGCATCCTACAGTTTTCGACATCTGCCGCGTTCTGTCGCAATTTTTTTTGATAAAACATTCATTTTTGCAAACATTTCTTGTTCTTCCTGCGTCTTTTCTGGTTTTAAAATTTTGTCGTTAATACTTCTGATGTAACATAAGAATATGAATTATGTGCGACACGTTGGACATCCGCGCCAAGAGTGGGCGTTTGACAAAACCGGCTAGGTTCTGCGCATGGTAGTACGACGTTTGATCCTGGCCTGAGTTTCATTTGCCACACCATACTTAACGCATTTAGTTTCATACTTAACTTAATGTTCAATACCAATAAAATCAATCAACTGCCAGACCCTGCTTTATATTCTGTCATGCATCCGGTTGAAATCTTTTTTCTTTGGAATGGCAAAACTGCTCCATTCATGGGTTTTCTGCCCAACTACTCTTGGGGTTTCTGAGCAAGGTTTTTGTATGTTGAGCCACCTTAGAAATGTAGAATGGCTTCCTACTTTTTATTTGTTCGAGCTTTAGTGTATGTGCTTGTAATGCAAATAAAAATAACCTCGAAACTACTTCATGTTATATGGGCTTCTAATGGTTCGTGTAAGAATGA